ATGTTCATCTCAATAACTGCTTTACTCACTTCGTAAAATAAAATTCTACGACTTGGGGTGTTTTGTTTTGAGTCCCAATATTGAAGATGAATTTTTGCTTTGATAATGTGGTTCACAAGTTCCATTTTGTGGTGCAATTGTTCCAAAGCAACTTCTAAATTGAAAATATTTGTTTGTGATTTTTCGTATTCGGTCTTTTTGTTCTTTTTAAATTCGAGAAATTTTCCAAAAATCAGTAACTCTTGATTAAAGCAGAAAGATGGCAATGGAAATTTGGAAAAATCTATTTCGTTGATATCAATGAGTTTATTAAAGTCTGTACCTATTGAAGAGTTCATCATTTGATACATTAAGACAAGAAATGTACTTCGTTTATCAACCCTCATCTTTTTTTTATTCATTTTGTTAATGTTGTGAATTAAGATTAACGCCTTTTTTTCATTCGAAAAAGAAACTAAAAGTTTCGATATATCAGTATCAAACGTCTTAACTAATGTTTCCAAGTCTGTTGAGTGATGCAGTATATCCTTCAATGGCATTTGAATGACGCTTTTTAGTTGTTTTTTACATGTTGTTTCGGTTTTTATTCATAACATTATTTTTTAATAAAGTTTAATTTTTTACTATCTTTTTACTATAAAAAAGCCAAAATAGTCAGTTTGTTTTGTTTTTTTGGATTGTTTTTAAATTTGTCGGTCTTTTTATTCTTAATTAATTAGTATAATTAAAAGTAATAAAAAAAAGTTAAAAATGATGTAAATTTAACTATAAAATATTACAGTAAAACCTCTCAATAATGGGTTCCCTCAATAAGACCACCCCTCAATATTGGCATTTATTGACCAATAAAATAAGTTTTCCATTATTAAGGGGTTTATTTTTTAAATAAAAATTGTTTAAAATAACGGGTTTAATTGCCAAAGGCATATTTATGAATTGTGTAATAACATTTTATTAATTAAAAATGAGTAAATAAAAACTGGTTTAAAAAGTTTTTATTGTCAATTTTAAATAAAGACTGTTTTAATAACTTTAAAAAAACCTAACCATTCAGTTACCAATTTGATTTTATAGGTCTTCATTCAACGCTGTCCCGCAGACTACCAAGTCTTTTTTATGTAAAAGATTTCATTTTCTACAACACGAATGGATTTTTTATCGTCGCATAATTCTTTTTTTATTTTTCTTAAATTTCTTCTGCTTCAATCATAAATTGAACTTCTTCACCTCTGATAGTCAATGGTTTATATTAATTGCTCGATGTGGGTGGAAAGTTTTCATCTAAAATTTATTGGAATAGTGATGAACGTGTTGAATTGTTTAAACTGAAACATTTTAATTTGACTCAGAAGACATTATTATTATTCAACAGCCACATGCAAACTTCACAATATCTTCAATATTTTTTTGAATCATGTATTCTCGTGTTTAAAGGCGATATAACAATACAATAATAACCACATAATAATATTTTGTAATGTTTTTTCAGTGCCATTGTTATTCCTTAATCACGTGGCTATGTCTAACTTGTGTTTACATGTGGTTTATATCAAGTTTCTTATCTAAAAAAATAATAATAATGTTTGTAAAAAACAAAAAAGGTTTTTGAAAAAAACCACTATTGAGGGGTTTTATTTCCCCAACACATCTACTAATGAGGGGTTTTACTGTAATTGTTTTTTATGAAAAAATTGCAAAACGATATAAAAAGCTTATTACAAGTATTGTCAAAAATGAAAAATGTTTTTCATTAAAAACTATTTAAGTTATTATTATATAATAATAGTTAAAATGATAATAATCGGAAGAAATTATTTCTTAATTGTATTATTAATAATAATACATATTATTATTCAATAAACTGTATTTCAATATTAAATTTTAAACTAACCACAGTCACATTTTAATGTTATTATTATTTATTAAAAATATATAATAAAAATTTAAATATTTTTTATTATTTATATATATTTATAACGTAGTTTATTGTTATTATATACTCAAAACTTCGTGTTGCAACTTGTAAACTTACAAGTCACATAGTGTAATTAATAATTATACACAATTTTATTATTATTGAAATAAAAAAGATGACGCAAACTCTTTAAAACAATGCTGTGTAATTATGAAAATCAAGAGTGTTGTCTTCATTCGTAGACACAATTGCAGTTGGCAAATACTTTTGAAGTTCTGTCTGCTGTTTTTTGTTGAGGGGAAGAGTGACGTGTATCACATTGTCATCAAAAGGAATAACTATGTCTTCTATATATTGTGACAACGTGTCTGAACACACTGTGACGTGTTTATATAGTTTTGATTTTTCTTTGACAACCTGGTAAAACTGGCTTTCCACGACGATAACAACAACGTCAAAATTGTATAACCCAACTTCTTCCAAGAAGACTTCGTCGAATCCGTTTTTAAATGTGATTTTAAAGAAATCAAGATGTTTAGTTTTATCCATCCAAAACGCTTCAACAACAGACATCTGTCCGCTCTCTTCATTGCTTTCCTCATTTTCACATAATGGATCAATATTCTTCTCTGGTTCGGATTTAATTTCGAACGCGTACGTTAAAGAAAGGCGTCTTAATTTATCACACACTGAAAAATCGAAGAATTGGTCTGGTATCACATTAAGTGAAACAATTTGGTTCTGGCACTTTAAAACGATTTCTTTAGTCTCCATATTGAGCGACAAAATATCAATTAAAATGGTTTGAGGAACTATTTCGATCAAGTCAAAATCGTTTGTTATTTCAATGACTTGAAGTGATGGGATTAACTCAAGTTGCTTTGATATTTTGTTCTTTTTTTCTTCATCATTGTAGACTATCTCGAAGTGTGGTGATTTGTTAAGACTTATAACAACTTGCCCACATTTTTTGTTAACTAACACAAATTGCGTGAGATCAGAAATCGAAAGAAAGTGATGAACAACATTTTTCAAGTCTTCATGGCACAACAAAATTGACATTTAAGTATACTCGATTTTAAAAAAAAATACCATAAAATATAAAAACATCATTTATTGGTTAAAAAAATTAAATTTAACTATTCTACCATGCACTTTTGTATTTTTTTAAATTACAAACTTCACGATTTTTCAAATAAATTATTATAAATTAATTTAAAATTATGATATTTTTTTTCAACTATAATAGTTTATGATTATTTAGTGAGTAAAAATATTTTTTAGTTTAATGGGAATTTATATTGATTATTAAAATAATAGTAATTATTATAATTATTAATTAATAATTAAAAATATATATTTTTATTGTTTGGTTTTAATATCCAACTAAAGACCACCAAAAAATAGCCATATACTTGTGATTTTAGTATTAAATAAACCGAAAAATAGGGAATATATCTTTACATATAAAATTTGACTAAACAATAAGAAAAAAAAAATGGAATTTGAAAAAATAAAAACCCGAAATTATACCAATTTTGGGTATAATTTTAATTAAAAAAAACTATAAACTAAGTGTACGAGTCTTTTTTGCTGTACGACTATTTTCTGGTGGTCTTTATATTATAAACTTGTTTAAAAATAAGTGTACAATAAAAGAACAATTTTGGCCAAATAACATATATCCCATTGATTAGATAATGAAATCATTTTTTAACAAAATTATTTTAAAAGCAACTTGATTGTATTGAAATGTATAGACATTGAAGAATTTTCATTAACACCATGGTATCAAGTCCGAACTTTAATATCGTCAAATTGTTTGTATCAAATGTTGTTCGTTTATTAAAACTTGTTATTCTGAAAGAGTTTTTTAATCTGATTTCAAGATTGTGATTAATAAAAATTATTTATTTTTTGAGTTGTATGTATCAAACTTAATCGCAACTTTAAATTGAATGATCATTACAATTTAAGTTTTGGAAAAATTATACAATAAAAATAATATATAAATAATCATATAATAGTATTTGAATTGTATAAGTATTGAACTTGATATTAAATGTTGTTTTAATATAATTTTGATTCATCATGTCTATGAATATCGGTAGTTTTGATACATATAATAGTTTAAACATTTAAGTAAGTGACAAATCTATTTAAAATAATATATTTATTAAATTAAACAATTTAAAGAAAGTGTTTTTTGACTTCCAATTATTAAACAATACTCATGATCAGCCCTTTTTGTTTCTTTGCAATTGCTAAAATTCTTTTTAAATGATAAAGTTGAAGAAAAGACGAAGACTGACATTTTATTTGAATAGAAAAAAGGAATTTTATTAAACACAACGTTGTTATTAATAACAAAATGAAGGTCACAAAAAATATCGAATTTCTGCACACCAGAGGGGGATTTTTTTAAGTCCGAATAGCGAAATATAATAAACTCGTTTTTTATCCCGATTGTTTAAATGAATTTTGATTGTTCCTTCATTCGAAAATGAAAATACAATTTGCATTAACGAACTCAATATCATTTTCAACGAGGTTTGGGTACTTTTGGTAAAATCTCCTGAACTTTTTTCAAAAACCTTTTTTCTTTTTTTGGATTTTTTTAATTGTGTTTTTACTTTACCTCTTCAACCCCCCAAAAAACTTTCAATTAAAAATTGAATGTATTCATTTATATAGAAGCACTTTTCTTAAGTAATTTCTAATTATAACTAATCAAAAATACAATCATTTTCAATATTTTAACTTTTATATTTCATCACTAAATATAGTTTGTTTTGTTTCTTTTTAGAAGGTCAAAAATGTTTGTATTACTTATTATGTATTATATCACTTTTTTATGAAACATGACACAATTATATAAAATAATTCCAAATGAACCCTTTGTCATTCTAATGACAATAAAACATTTTATATTACTCGAACACTTTGATTGTTTTATAATGAACAATCAACCTGTAATAAACAAAAACAATCTTATTAATGGTGAATTCCTAATCAATATCAAAAGTTTTTTAAACGAAGTGTTTATTGAATTAAATAATATTTTTGAACTTATTTAAAACTAATTGTGTCATTGTACTTCTTTTATTTAACGGTCTTTATATATTGATTACATTGTATGTGTTTTTTTATTCAAATAGAATTATTTCATGTTTATTGTGCGTTGAATTTACTAACATATCCAGGTTGTGCACTTTAAAATTGGTCATTTAGCTTTCAAAACAATGGATATTTTACCGAGTATTGTGGTATTGTTTTCTTGAATCCTTCAAATCAATTTTAATTTATTTTTCATGGAAAATATCAAACCCAACATCCTCAAGTGTAGTTTCACAATTTCTATTTTTAAAAGGGTATAAAATCTATTTTATTTTTTTATTTACGAAAAATACCTTTACTTTTATTGTTGGTTCTCAAAAACCGATGGAATGTAAACATTTCCCGCAAAACTCCAATAATTAAAGACTAAATTGTTTGGAATTGAACTTGTAATTAATATATATAATAAATATGTTCATATTGAAAACAACTTGGTTTTTATTATACAAATAGTTAACTGTCGTTTGAATTTTCTTTTGTCGTTTAAAATAGTTCATAAAACTATATAAAGAGTTTTTCAAACATAATATGAGGCATGTTAATAAAACACATTTCTATTTTCGTTTTATTTTGGAACCAAATATTAACAAATAACGGGAATTTTCATTGTTTTTGTAAAAGGAACAACACAAAAAACACATTTCCACGTTTAAAAAGTATATTTGGGGGTGTAAATAATTTTTATTTTTTAAATAAATTATTGTCAGTAAGAAACACAAATCAAATGGAGTTTTATGAACAAACAACTGTTTTTTAGACTGACCAAAAGAATAATGATAAAATAGTGCAAAAGATACACATTTAATATTTCGGCGACCCTTTTCGAAAATACTTGTATTCCTAAAAGTTGTCTAAAAGTTCGGATGTCTTTTTGTTTTGATTGGTCGCAACAAAACATCCCAAACCTAATAATTTTATACCTTTTTAGTCCAATGTATTCGTAGATAATATATTTAGCAAAACTTTTTGTGCAAAACCCAACAATATTATACAACGCCAATTATAGTCCCAATTTTGGTTAATTTATCTTTTTACGAAGTGTTTCTTATATAAACTGAACAATTAATTGTAATCACATCAGAAACTAAAGAACTATGCAAGCAAACCTCCACTTTGATCCAACTCTCACTTTCGCGGAACAATCAACAAAGAGTTCTTCTCAAACTCTACCTAAAAAGATTAAAGAAGAAGAAATCCCTCGTTTTAAGGGAAAACAGATTGAAGCAATGAATTTCCAGTCGGATTTGCAGGCTATCTTCATTGCTATTCTATCCAAATACACAACCATTTCTATTGGAAGACCCCACAGAATGTCTCACATGACAAAACAATTTTTAAAGATTAAAGAAATTGAATTCAATCGATTTGACAGCATTAATGTGCTTCAATTCATACAAACGAGATCAAAAGAACAAGCTCAACATGAATTTGCGACGGGAAATACTTCAAAGAAAACTGCTAAAAGAAGAATACAACCTACCAAAAGAAGAGAAGTGATGAGACTATTACAAGACTTTATATCAGAACTCGGATTTCTTGTTGTTGTTGAAAATGAAACTGTTGAAGGGTACGAAGGAAAAGTTACTATTTATCAGAATGGGTCTTTACTATTTAATACACAACAGATCAGAGACTTCGGTAATCAAATCAACCAACACCTTGCCTCAAGCATTCAAACGGCTACTTCAATCACAGTGACAAAGGACTCATTTATCTTTTAATTGTGTATCTTTTGTTTTGCTCACAAAAGTACCACTGTTTCTATGTATTGAGTAATCATTCAGTTGGGTTTTTATTATGGTATATTTTATAACATTTTTATTAAAATCAAAATGGATATTAAAATTATACAAGTTGGTATTTTTATAGTAAAGAATATAACTTTAATTATTTAATTACTATGAAAACTAATATAAACTATGCCTATTTATTATTAACAAAATAAAATCTTTCTTTGTTCATATTAACACACAACAGAAAATATATCAAATATTTTTTTATGTCTCTGTCACTCTTTACGACGAATTCAAAGTGTTTCATACTCTAAAAATGTATCAGTTCAATTTCTCTAAACATAACAAATAACCTATTGTATTATTTTACTATTAAAACTAAGATTTGATCAACATAGTTAACTCGATATTTCCTTGTTTTTATATTTAAAAATAAGTGGGTTGATGAAATTCTGGAAAAAACTTATGACTTTATTATATTTTTCAAATTATAATAATTATAATTATTTTAAATATTAATTTCATGTATGAAAGAAGACTGCCTTTTTTCAGTATCATTAACCCATGTATTGCCACAAATTGCCCAATAATTGACTCAGCTCTATTTTATCACAAACCATTGGCATTTGTATTTTTCAATATCAAAGTGTCCAATAAAATATCAACCACTGTTATAACGAACCTTTTCAAGTTTTTTTGGAACAATTATCACATTTCTGAACCCCAACAAAATTTGACAAAAAACACAAAAAATGTTTTCAACTTGAACTAAAATCATAATGAAACCAAAGCTCTCGGAGAAAATGCATTTGTGTCTGCCAACGACTTTTTGCCCAAAATGCGAACAGTTGATGTGCGGGATATGCCTTGAGGAAGGCGTTAAAAAATTTGGCGTGTGTTATAAGTGTAAACAAACGGTCACTCTTGAGGAGATTCAAAATAGAAAAAATGAAGAAGAAGTCCGACGCTCGATGTCGGAACAATCACCACCAACCCAAGCGAAAATCAGACTTAGCCCTCGAATGTATCACTCACAAACAATCCAAGTGTTTCTTTCACAACAAAGTTCGTCACTGCCATCCTCTGCTTCCGTATCAAGAAACTCCATTGCGTCAAGTGAAATATCATTTGACTACCAAACTCAAAACGGGTTCAACCCACATAAAAGTATAAGTTCTTCAAGAGGAGATCCGGCTGGTAGTAACACAACAAACTCTCCGCGGTCTGTTGCGGAGAAAACGTATATATCAGACGAGCGATTTAATCTTTTTAAACCTCCGATGTTGAACGACAAAGTGACGTTCACCAAAGAGGCTGGAAATGACGTGAAAATTATACAGTACGCGACACTGGAAAAGTGTTTATTTATGATAGTCTCGTCGCAATGTGAAGACTCTTACTTTCTTCAGTGTTTTGTATACTCTTACAAACTCATAACAACGACATCAAACCTCCTCGACTTACTTTTGATACTTCTAAATCCACAAAAAGAAAAGGAAGTGAGCTGGAAGGACTTCTGTAATAACATTTTATTCCCATACAGAGCAAAGATATTGGCAATTTTAAAACTCTTAATCCACACATTCCCGGAGGACTTCCAAAGAGATGAATTGTCGGAGAAGATCGAAATCATATGCGATGTATTAAGATTCTGCAATAAATCCAATTCGGATATGCTGATGTCATGCTTGGATAAAGCACGAACAAAGAAGTTGTTGGTCATTCCAACACTCAAGACAGTGTCTTTGATTAACTACGACAAAGTGACTGGTATACTGAGGTATTCTCCCATTGATTTTGCTGAGCAAGTCACTGTTATGCAAATGGAGAATTTTGTGAAGATCCCTCCATCGGAGTTTTTGAACCAAGGATGGACTAAAAAGAATAAGGAAGAACTCACCCCGAACATCGTCAAGATGATCAAATTTTCGAATAAAATCATTAACATTGTCCAAACACAAATAGTCATGCAGACGTCTTATCCTCTTCGAACGCTCGCTATTTTCTATTTCATTACTGTCGCTGATATAATGAGGAAATTGCAGAACTTTGACGGAATGAAAACAGTGATGAGTGCTTTACAAGCAACGGCTGTGTTTCGACTGAAAACATCGTGGGATATGCTTCCTTCGAAGACAAAGAATATCTTTGATGAGCTTTCAAAGTTGTGTTCGGAAGATAATAACTTCAATGAACTTAGAATGGCGATGAAAGTCGCGACCCCTCCAACAATACCATTCATTGGAAGTACTTTAACCGATTTAATATATACTGCCGACGGAAATAAAACGAACAACGGCGAGGAGAGTGTGATTAACTTCTATAAGCTCAGAGGCATTGGTAATTTGATCAAAGAAATTATGCTGAAGCAAAAGACCCCATATGTGATAGCGGAGGATAGACGCGCACAAGAAGGAATGATGTCGGTTGCAGTTGTAGAAGACGAAGAAACGTTGTTTGAAATTTCGACCAACAATGAACCCAAACTGTTTGATAAAGTGTTTGTTGATTGGTAAATATAATATAATATATAATACATTATTTGAATTAACACATAGCGAAGATGCGTCGAAAAAGCCAAATAAAGGAGAAGGAAAGCACGCTAAGGATTTGATAAAGAGTTATGTCAAACATGCGAAGTGAATATGCCAATAATACTATGGATAAAGTGAATTGTATTTTGAATTTCAATTATTGCTTATTTTCATCCCTTTTTTGTTATTTAAAATAGAAAATCTTAATCATTTTTACTTGGATTGACAGTTAGTAATTCTTTAACACATAAGGTAATAAATGTAAATAAACTTAATTTTTATACTAAATGGTTAAAAATTAAAAGATTTAATTTATTATACTATAAACTCTGTTCAAAAAAAATAAGAAAAATTATTAATTAACTATAAAATAATTATTATTTTATCTATAAATTTATTGGTATTTTAATTAATAAAAAAATTTTTTGAACATGGACTCATAAAAACAGATTTATACTCAATGAAAAAATTGTCCAAAAAAGTGGGATTATTCGGCTCAATTATATAAATAAAAAAAATTCAACACAAAAACCACTAGGAACTGCAAAATAAAAATAAAAGATCCAAAAATGTTATACATAACAAAAGTCCATGATTTTAGAGCTCAACAAAGAGATCTTGAAACTGAAATTTATATTTTAAAAAACATGCGAGGAGTGTTTCTCATGTTATTAACAATGAACATGCTGACGTGGGCCTACTCGACTGAAGAAGATTATGTTTGTTCCACTTTTTGTGTTTTGAGACAACAACGGTTCAAATTTTTTATTGTTTTTTGCTCAATTGAAATTAATGAATAGGAAATGGACGATTTTGAGGACAGTCTTTGGGATACCGTTAAAAAGGAGGCAAACACGTTGTTGAAGCCAACAAATGCGACGAACGCTACCGTCTCGAATTCCACGCAAACAAATACGACTTCGACAAATGGAACGACAGCTACCAATACCACAACTCCTGTAAACATTACGGAGACAAAGAAGTCTTCTAAATTCAATTCACTAGTCGAGGCAGTCATCAGTGGGTACGAAAACAATATCAACAAAACACAGATGGATGTCGAAAGGAAAAAGGCAAAAATGCAAGAGAGAGCGGATAAGGGGGGAAAGGACTTGGTTGTGATGCGACAACAACTTGTCGACGTTCAAACACAAATTGAAGAGAAGGTTAAAGAAGTTGAAGCCTCACAAGAGACGATTGACAAACAGACGACAGCGCTTGGGGTCTTTATGGAACAAATCAAGAAGAATGGTGCAGAGAAGGATGTTAAGTTGCGAGAGAGACTTGAAAAAGAGCTGAGAACAACAGTGGAAAAGGCACAGAAGCAAAAGAAAAGAAGCGAGAAAGAACAACAACGACTGATTAAAGAATTAAGAAAATTGTATAGAAAAAAGAAAACCCTGCAGAGAGACATTAAAGAGAAGGAAGTCCAAATGTCGGGATTGGTCCAACGTATTGCACACATTGAAGAAATGACCGAACTCAAAGTTCAAGAGATCAAGAGGGTTGTCGAATGGATGAAGAAGAAATTGGAAAAGAGAGTTTTGTATAAGAAAAGACTTTTTGAAGTGGTCCAATCATTGAACGCCACTATCCCATTGATTGAATCCGAGTTCACGTTACCAAAGAAAAAAGCCGAACTTCAGGAAACTGCCAATCAACTCAAAAAGGTCAGAGTGAATGTGTTGAGACAGATCAAGAACCTCAGAACCATGTTGATGGCTCGAGTCAATGTATATAATAAGAGTAAAATCGTTCGAATTGCTTATGAAGACAGAAGAGATCGAATTGCAGAGGAAGAAAAGAGACATCGTGAATTGGCAAGAAAAGTGGGACAGAGGGTTGTGGCACTGAGAGAAGAGATTAACAAACAGAAGGAATACTTGAAGAAACAAACTGTTGAGGTGTTGAGAGACATTGCCGCATCGAAACTGAGCGAGCTCAGAGGACAATTTAACACTGCCGACACTCAACTGAGAAAAGTCCAAAGAAAACTGAAGTTTATGAATAAGGCACAAATGAAAGCAAGAAAGGAGTATGACTTGGACATGCAAAAAATTCAGCGGGAATTTGTTAAAGAGAAGATCGCAGCATTCAAGAAGGCGAAAACAGAGGCTTTGAGAGGAAGAAGACGCTTTGAAAAGAGAATTGAGCGTATTGAAAAAGCGATGACGAATAAAAAATACACTGTCGACCAGGTCAAGACATTTGCAGAGAAAGCTGCCATCTTACGAAAGAAGTTGCCAGAGATGAACCAGAAGGTTGCGAAGGCTGTCAATCGATTGAAAGCTGAGTACAGCAGAATCAGAGCCGAGAGAACTAAAAAGTATGAACACCTCAAAAAGGTTGCTGCTGAACTTAAGACTTTGGAAGATGAGTTGACCAGTGAAATGGAAATTTTGAAGGAGAAGGTCAGCCAAACCACAAACGAACTTGAGAAGTCTGGGCTTGTTGAAGACTTGAACGATGTGAGCAGAAGACAAGCAACTGCACACGCCAAAGCGTCTGTTGCCAAACGCGCTGTTGAAAAGATTGAAGAAAAGGTCATTGAAGAATTGAAGTCTGACTTGAGAGGAGAAAGAAAAATGGTGAGAGTACTCAACAAGAGTAAAGAACGAACTTTGAAGAGAATCAACGTGCTCAAGGAGAACAACGAATACAACCAAATTGTTGATGAGCTCCAAAAGAGAGTGGAAGAGGTCAATAAAATGATTGATATCCACATGAAAAATGCTGCGGAAATTGAAGGAAGAGTCACTGAGGCACTTCGAAAGAGAGACGAGTCTCTTAAACTGGCAGTTGTTGAGGCACAAAGCAATTTAGCGAGAGTCAGAACTAAAAAAGAAGGCATTGCCGATGAACTCAATAGAATCTTGAAAGCATCAAAGACTGATAGTGTTGAGCAATTGAAGGAGAACACCAAAAGAATGAAAGAACTGAAGAGAGACCTTCTAATTTTGAACACTGTTGAGAATAAAGTAAGAGAGAAGCTCGAAGCACTTAATAAGGTAGTGTTTGTCAGATCTATCGATGAAAAGACGATGAAGGCTGCAAGAAAGTCGAGAGAATTGATCAGACAAATGAAGAGAAGTTCAAGAAAAGTCCGTATCATGAGGGGTAAGCTTGCCGTGAACAAAAGAATGATTGATAAACTCTACAAGTCTGTCCATGAGACTGGAGATGTTATTTCAGAGAGAGCAGAAGAGAAGATGGAACAACTGAAGAACGTCAGAGAGCTCATGAAGAATAAATTGAAGAAGGTGTTGTACGACCACAAGAAGCTGCAGAAAGCACTGTTCAAGCACGTTGAGAGAGTTAAGAGACTTGCGAAATACAGAATCAGACAATACGAGAAACAGCACGCAGTGTTGCTGAATAAGAGAAACGAGATGATGATGAACAAAGCCAAAGTAGTGAAGGATAAAGGTACCGAGTATTATTACACTAAGATTGATTTGGTCGATGAGAAAATGAATGACGTTGCGAGAGAGGAAAAAGAATACAAGAGCAGACTCAACAAACGTGTGAACAAAATGGTTGCTGTTGCAAAGGAGTGTGAAAAGAAGACACCAACTGGACTTGAAGGAATCAAAATGAAGTGTGCGATGTGCAGAAACCTTGCCGCGTTTTTGCTCAAAAAGATCAGAAGGGACAGACTCTCTGCAAAAGAGGTGATGAAAAAAATGTATACCAAGTGTGAGTCATCAAGCCACCCAGCACTCTGCCTTAGAACTGCTTTGAAATTGAGCACTAAAGCTTTCCAGAAGAAGAACGTTGACGTCACCCCCAAAGAGCTTTGCTATAAAGTCGGACGATGCGTGTTGAACGTTTAATTGAAACTGAAATTTCTTGTTTGTCTATTGTTATGTGTTTTAATGAAGTTATAGTTTAATATTTTAAATTGATAATAAAATTCAAAAAAATATTGGTTTACCAAATTAGATAAGTGTAAAGAATAATAATGATGTTATTTAATAATATTTACAGTTAGTTCGGATTCAAATGAAACAAGTCTCATAATAAATTGAATTTGTCTCAAAACAAATTAAAATTGCACCTATATTCAATTTTGTTTCAAAACAATAAAAATTTGTCTCATTACTTTGTAATTTGTCCCAATAAAAAACAAAAGTGTTTCAAAATGATATAATGTTTCAAAATAATATTAAAATGTCCTAAAAGTAAAAAAATTTGTCTCATAAATGTGTAATTTTGTTCGATAAAGATTGTAACACTCTTTAAAAAATAATAAAAATATACACACATACTCTCTTTTGATAAAAGGATTTTGAAATTAAATAATTAATAACACTTTAAAAAATCAAAACTTGCTTTTAAATAATGAACAACTTAAAAAATATGTTACTTTAAGAAATTGTAAAATTTGTTCGTGAAGTTCGAACAATTTTTTGTTTTTTAAATTATCAATTAGATTAAATACAACTTGGTGAGTTACCATCATAAAATGCTTTTGAAAGCAACACATGCAAATAACAACAACTTTACTACCAACAACACAAACTCCAATAGAAACATCAAAACCTGAAAACTTGATGTGTAAGCGGCACACAATCATTTTTCCGTCTTTATTAAAAACTTTATATAAAAAGTATATTAACGATGTATCACTAAATATTTAAAAACATAAATTTTATTGAGATAATACTAAGTAATATAAACAAGAGTAAAATAACAATATTCAATATGCTATTGAATATAACCGGAAGTTTCAAGTAGATGATAATAATTTGAAAAATGTGTTGATTATTTCATTAGACTAGTCGCGTTAAAATTACTCGCTCGAGGTGTTCTTTAAGTATTTTTTAGTTGTAAATATAAATTAAACATTAAAGTTTTATCAAAAGAGAGTATGTGTGTATATTTTTATTGTTTTTTAAAGAGTGTTACAATCTTTATCGAACAAAATTACACATTTATGAGACAAATTTTTTTACTTTTAGGACATTTTAATATTATTTTGAAACATTATATCATTTTGAAACACTTTTGTTTTTTATTGGGACAAATTACAAAGTAATGAGACAAATTTTTATTGTTTTGAAACAAAATTGAATATAGGTGCAATTTTAATTTGTTTTGAGACAAATTCAATTTATTATGAGACTTGTTTCATTTGAATCCGAACTAACTGTAATTGCTTTGTTTTTTGTGATATTATTCGAGAATTAAAAATTATAATAAAATTGATTGTTATGATATTTTTGATAGTGAAAAATACTAAAACAATACAAATTCTTTTTTACCTTTTTTTAAAACAAACAATAATAGTTTTTTTTATATTAATAACATTAAACATGGAAATGTTATTTAAAGGTCGAATAAAAAATGTTTTTAATCATCAAGTTAAAAAAAGATCACAATCTATCAATATATAATAAAATTATTAATATATATAGTAAAATATTCTTCGAGTTAATTTTTGTGTTTCAAAAATAGAATTATTTATTTTTGAAACAAAAAAGAAGTCTCCATATATTGATGAATCCAACACGTAAGTACAAAGTTGTTTTTATTGGCGACTCATCTGGTTTGAATTTCCTTTTCTGTTTTTCATCAAAAGACACTTAAAGACAGTAGGGAAGACATGCATCATCGGCAGATTCATGAGCGGAATGTTTGTGAACGAATATGAAGTTTGGTCTCCTTATTTTTTATACGAAGTGGGGTAGTACATTTTATAGTTTTTGGTATAATACAATTACTATATTATTTAAACGATAAATTTTAATGATAACTTGCGACATTCAATCAACTCAAAGGCAACAGTGGGCACTGATTTCAGTTCGAAACTGGTAACTGATGACAAAACAAAGCAAACAGTACAACTTCAGATTGTTTGTTGATACACCGCATTGTACTTTCAAAATCACGAATAGTGGGACACTGCAGGACAAGAGAAATATCACAGTTTAATACCTTCCTATATTCGAGAGAGTCGAGTAGCTGTAGTTGTTTATGATATTAGTGATCGAGACTCTTTCAATGATCTCGACGAGTGGATTTCTTTGGTGAAATCCGAAGAGAAGAAAGACGTCTTTCTGTTTCTCGTGGGCAACAAGAACGATATTGGCAAACGAGAAGTGACACAGAAAGAAGCTCTCGACAAAGCCGATTACTATCAATGCCAAAGTTTTGAGACAAGCGCAAAAGAGAATTGTAACATCACGGAGTTGTTCAAAGCCATTACAGAAAGACTTTGTTCGATTGAACCCATTTCCGAGGATTCAGTGGAGACGGTGAGTATAACTGAGAGTAACAGCGTGAATACAAAATTTAAGTGTTGTTAATTCGTCGATTGTTTCATGTGTCGTTTTACAAACAAAGACCAAAAAATAAAACAATTAAAAGACTAGTATGTGGTGTTCGTGCTTTGCGCGACTTGCCACAATGGCTTCGCAGCAAATCGGAGACCGGTGAAATTGTATGGCGATAGAAGTTGCTTCAGCGATTCTTCAGGTGGGTATCCGAGCATTATTTCGGTGTCCGGTGTAATTGCCGGACGGCGTAGTGTAGAGCTTCTTACTTGACAATCCATAGGTCTGATTTCTGAGTTCCGTTTGCAATTCGAATTGCCAACAAAGTTTCGAAGATAAAAGACTTTCTTTTGATTTTTACTCTCAAATTCCATTGTAAAAGGAAAAATTCCACAAAAAACGGGAATTTTTTATTTTTTTACTTAAAACCATAACTAGTAATATCATTATTACTTCTATTGCTTAATTCTAAGTATTATAAATATAGTTTATTTATAACAAAAATACCATATCGATAATTTTGGAATGATTAGAATATAATAATAATTACTATATGTGTATGTAATAATAAAAGAAAAGAAGAGTACAATTCAAATTGAAGGACTACGGTTTGCTCATTATAAAGAGTCTTGGGAGGTAAGTCACAGGGGTGGTACAATCGCGCTGAGGTATATATGTTGTGCTTTTCATTTCTGAGTTTTTGACGAGAGTAAATCCGACTCTCTTTGCAATCTGAATTATTTCTTCAAGTGTAAAATGGAAAGAAGAGATACAATTGTTCACCCAATGGAGTGGCCCTAAGTTCACCCATTGCCCGCCACTCTTTAACACTTTAAATATACTTGTTATATACTCGACCGCATCAAAAGCAGTGTCCATAAAGTAACAAGTGCACACAACATCAAATGTGACTTGAGACTTCTCGGTATATGTGACAAAATCCTCTTCAGAAAATTTGACTTGAGAAAGAAACTCGTTCGGCGCTACGTCTGGGATTTTCAATTTCAGCCTTTGAAAATCAGAGCTGACCAAGTCCGAGGTGAACACGAGATAAGGGCATATCGTAAATGCCTCCTTCTTGGCTTGAATTAACGCATTGAGTGTAAGTATCATATAGTGATTGCACTCACATGCATAACACTCGTTTCCATTCTTCACGAGTTCATAAGGAAGTCGTGCTAACCCACACCCCGGTACTAATACTCTTTTTTTTGTCCCTATCTCATCAAGCAAAACCCTAAAACATGAATCTCGCACATAACTCCCTTCACCTGACCACTCTCGAACTGTTTGTTGGATGACATCAGAAATACGTGACATGTTATGCTTATTCAATGTGCAACAACTATGCTCTAATGACTTTTCAACGTCTTCCTCTGTTTTGAACTGTTTGGTGTAGAGAGAAACAATTGACTCCAAAAACGGGGTATTTGTTTCTGATAAGTCGCGAACTTCTTTCATACGCAAAATGTAATCTTTGAGGAGATCATTATCCTCTTCCTCTGCTATTGTTATCAACTCCTCGAACTGTTCGACAACATCTTGAACGTAATTCTGAAAGGAATAATAACAACTCGCACAACAAGACTTCGGCTCACTTAACATCTAACTTCTTTTTATAGTTTTTTTCTTTAATATTTTTAGTTCAATTATAACTTAATTTATACTATAACAAATTAACATTTTTTACCATTTTTTACCATTTTTAATAATAGAACAATCTTTTCTAAAAACCATTTACTTTTGTACTAAATAATAATTATTATATTATTATTATTAATAATAAATGTGAAGTATATTTTTAATAGAAATAAAACCATAATATCAATAATAAAGAAAGAGATAATTGAGGAATTGATGATGAACAATTTATCCAGAAGATGAGACGTTCAGTCCTGCTTTCCTCAAAGCGGAATTCCGTCACCCCAAAGTCTACAACGACTTTGTTAAAACCAAAAGTTCCAGTCAAAGAGGAGAGCCTTCTCCACCCGCAGAAGGCGTTGTTAGTAGTTGGTCCAAAAGTTGAAGAAAAGAAAGAGATAACCAAAGTCTACAAAATGATGTGGACTAAGAACACTCCGAAGAAGCAAAAGACTTATAACGACGGGTTTATCGTTGTCAAATCGAATAACATTGGGTTCCTTCACGACGAAGAAGACAAACAAATTGGAAAAATATCTAATGTATCGAAGGAAATAACTCCCGACATGATAGGAGGGGAGTCGACAATACTTTCAGGGAAGTTGGTTGAAATCATGGAAGAGATACCGGTTGCCAACTACTTATCTGGGAAACTCTTTTTAAAAGAAACCCCGACGGAGAGTGCACTTCCAAAGGCACTTCCAATCACGAAAAAGACTTTTCTGAGCTCAAATGCACCAATGAGAAAGAAGGTTGCGCTTTATGACAAAGAAAACCCATTTGCGTTTGTTGTGGACGATAAGAAAGAACCGCCAGTGTTGATCGACCCTTATTTGGGGAAGCACTTAAGACCACATCAAGTCGAAGGAATTAAGTTTATGTATAACTGTGTTATGAGAGGAGATGACTCCGGGTGTATTTTGGCAGATGAGATGGGTCTTGGGAAAACACTTCAAACGATCGCGCTGATATGGACACTGTACAAACAATGCAACGTGAAAAAAACAGTTGTTGTCTGCCCGCAGAGTCTGATTGGAAATTGGGAAAATGAGTTCATGAAGTGGCTTGGCACAGAGAGAATCCCCGTGAAGACGGGAAGCTCGGACGCTTTGATGAAGCAAAAGGTGGAAGACTTCATCAACGATTATATCCCTGTTTTGATCACAAGTTACGAGCAAGTCAGGTCGCATGTTGAAACACTCAAGAAAACAAAAATTGGATTACTCATTTGCGATGAAGGACATCGGATCAAAAATTTGATGACCAAGACAAACACTTCCCTGCAAAACCTCGGAGCAAGCCGACACATCATTTTGAGTGGGACCCCAGTGCAAAACGGACTTGAAGATTTCTATTCACTTGTTGAGTTCTGTTGTCCTGGGAGTCTTGGACCCCTTAGGACATTTAAAAGAGTTTTTGCAACGCCAATACAAAGAGCACAAGACGGAGATGCGACTCTGGAAGAAATTGAACTTGGGAAGGAAAGAGCAAAGGAATTAACAGTTAAGTTGAATGATTATGTGCTCAGAAGGACATCAAAGATCAACGAAAAGTACCTTCCGGACAAGACGGAGATTGTTGTGTTTGTCAAACCAAGCATCGTTCAAAAGAAAATATATGCGATGATGCTCAACGACTTGAAGATGAAAAGAGTCGACCAAAGCGCTGCTCTTCAATTCATTCAACTGTTCACAAAATTGTGCAACCACCCCCTCTTGGTGAGGGATTATTTGGTTGAAAATTACAAGGACGTCGACAAAGAGATTCTTGACATATTAAATCAAGAGGTGGCCAATTTGGAAGGGTCAAATAAATTCAACGTGACAGTGAAATTCATCGAAGAGATTATAGAAAATAGCGAAGAGAAAGTTGTTGTCGTTTCTAATTACACGAAGACGCTCGACGTCTTTGAGAAGTATTTTTCTACACGCGAAGAATCGAAAATCAAAATATTGAGATTAGACGGGAAGACGAGTCAGAAAAGTCGAGACACAATAGTAGAAAAGATTAATGACAAGAAGTCCGGGTACAATGTGTTGCTCCTTTCAAGTAAAGCAGGGGGTGTTGGTCTCAATTTGATTGGGTGCTCTCGTCTTATTTTGTTTGACCCCGACTGGAACCCAGCGAAGGACAAACAAGCGATGGCGCGCATTTGGCGAGACGGTCAAAAGCGAAAGGCGATGATTTATCGAATGCTCTGCACGGGGACTATTGAAGAGAAGATCTACCAACGACAATTACAAAAGAACCAAGTGAGTGAGAGTGTGGTCGAGGAGCATCTTGAGATGGGTAAAAGTTTGAGTTTGGAACAATTGATGAAGGTGTTTGAGTTGAACGAAAACACGTTATGTGATACACACGACTTGCTGCAATGCGATTGTGAGGGTTCAGGAACGGCGAACAAGAGCGGAGAAAAACATTTGACGATGGATCGAATTGAGTCGATTGCGTCGGTCGATGGACTTATCACACGATTGAAAGACGTCAAAGACCTCATTTCGATGCTTTTTGTCTGCGAGTTTCACAATGAGTCGAGGTGAATGTGTGTTTTTAAGTTATTTTCTTTTTTGGAATTATTTTACAGAATTTTAGTAAAACATGAGCATCAGGTACAGAAAGATTTTAATACAAAAAACTATAAGTTATTGTTTTCTGAGTTGAGCTGTTTTAAACAAGAAAGAAGAACAGGAAGGTCTTCGTCGTCAAGCTCACTCACCTCCGATTTAAAGAGTATTGTGAGCACTTCACTTTCGTGTTTTTCCCCTTCGAGGTTCCAAGTGATGTTGTCTTTCAGGAATATACTTTTAGGTTTTATGAAGGGGTTAATCCTTCGTTTGGCGTAGTACAAGAAGAGCGAATAATCTGTTGGTGACAATGTCAAATTCACTTGTTTCAAATCCAACAGAAACAAAACGGCGCTGTGCAAGTTTGTGATATAATAAGTCACTTCGGAAGATATATTTGCCCACCGTGGAATAAAGGCTTTTAAGTACTCGATAGTCGACACTAAATGCAAAGGAGCCGAATGTATAATTGCAAAGATGATAGTGGGAAGAAGCAAGTCTGCGGAGACTGTTGTTGGTTGCAATTTAGAAATGATGTCGATAGTAAGGAGAAACGTGTTGTATACCTGAAATGCTTTATTTCGTGGGGACTTCACCATATTAATTTGTCGTAAGTGGCTGCCAATCAAATCAACGGACTCTTTGCCCTTTTCCGTTTCAAAGAATGCCAAATCGAAGTGGTGAGGTGCGATGAATTGGTGTATTGAAATGATGTTGGATAGAATGACATCTTGTTGGTTACATACAAACACGATATTCTGTTCATTTCGTTCGATCAAAGGTGGCCAAATGTACTCGAAGAGTTCTGTAGTGAATATCTCCCACAAGTATCTCACAAACATCTTCTTGTATTTCGAGCATAAAAACACCGGCGACTTGCCAGTCATATCAATAATAGTCTGCATCAATTCATACATCGTCTCAGCCCGTTCTTTTAAATCTTTGCCCACAACCATTCCTGGAAACTTTTTAATGCTTGCCGAAATGAATTGAGGAAAATGGGAGTTGCATCTGAAATCTATAAACAATTTGAAAACGTCAAACTCATTCTCCAAATTCTCTGGCATGACATCCCGCCGTTTCTCAAGTTTGCGTTTTATTGCAATTGGTCTTATCAACCCAATAACACTTTGTTCTTCACTTCTTCGTGGTGATGGCGTTTTTGGTTGTAATGTGGTTGTCTGACTCCGTTTCGTCTGGACCATTTTATTATCAAGTTTCTCTTTTAAAATCCTCTTTTGGTCCGGGTCGTTCCCTTCGCTCATATAGAAGTCTGGAGTCACACTTTTATCAGTAAAATTTTCAGACTCTTCACTATATCCGTGAAAGTCTTTTTCATCTTCGTCATCAAGTAACTCACAACTATGTGAATTGTCCCTTACACTTTTAATCTCTGGCGTGTTCCTTTCTTGTTCGTTTGGACTTTCTTTGCTCAAACTCGAAATTTTGATGTCAGAAGTACTACTCGACTCCCTTTGTTGAAATGAGTCTGTTGTGTTCTTATCGAAGATACAATTCACCTCTTCGGCAACTTTGTCTTTCTTCTCAACACTTTTCGACCGCCAATTCTGGATATTGTCACACAGAAACCCCCACGAACATCCTTCCCATTTCAGTGGTTCTTTGATATACAGTATTGGAATGATTCCAATTGGTGTACACAGTACATCATATCCAGTGATATTTGCTTGGTTATTATACTTTTCTGTGTTATTTGGTTTTGAGTCAAAGTAATACATCATTTCTTCATATTTACACTTCCAAGGCTCTTTCTCGCAGTTTTTATAATAAATAAAGTCTGTCTCGATGACTCCTTGAATTCCGTTGAGAGAAATGAATCCCTTACTATGGGGGTGTCTCCGAATTAAATGTGTCACAAAGAACTCGGGTGTGGGTAAGGAGTAGTTTCCTATGGGTATACACAACGTCATCGAAAACTCAATTGCACACAACACAGCGTACTTTCCGAGATCCGAAGACAACATGTCGATAATAAATTGTGACGATGTAACACTCTCAGAGTTCTTTATTTTCGTGTTTGCTTGGAACGTCTTTCCTCTCATTGACACAAAAGTGCTGATTAACGGTTGAAAATCAAGTTCATCAGACACAAAATTCTTCACTTGAACGGATGTCTGTCTTTTCAACCCCGTAGAAATTGGTTGGTCAACTTGCGGAAGACAACACCCATACGTTCTTACCGAAGCCATATCGATTAATTAGTTTTAGTGAACTTGGTAGAAGATCGAAATTCCTCATTTATTTTTATTCAATTCACTTCTGTTGTTCTACTAAATTTCTGTAAGATAAGTTGTTCCATTAAAAAACCAACACAAAGTGAATAAAAAAAATGGATTAAGCTCTGTAATTGTAATCGACGTCGTGTGAGCAGGCAGTCATATCACCGTTGTATTGTTTCATGTATGGGGAAGACCATCCACCGAATGCCTTGAAATCAGAGAAAGAAGCAGATGAGTCATAATGAGCATACCAAAGTGGGTAACTTGAAGCTTCGTTCCAGTTGTAAGACAAGGAGAAGATATCTTCCCATTGATAGTAGCTGCTGTAAATACCAGCCTTGAACCCAATAGCTTGTTGTTGAGAAATAAGAGCCAAGAAGAAGTTCTTATTGCTTGAATAGCTTCCAGTCCAGGTGCCTTCAATATCAAACCAGACTCTTTCAAATTTCATGCCCTTTGAAACGACGTTACTCCAGAAACTGCTGACCTGACCAGCAGCATCTCCACAGGAGACGCATGGATAGAAATAAGCATCAATGACTTTTGGATCAAATCCGGCTGAGACAGCATTCATGTTGATTTGGTAAGCATTTGGATCCCATGAGCCAAGACTTCTCCATGCACGGAAAATGAAGAAACTGTTGAATCCTAAGTTTCTAAGGCATTGGATGGAGCTCACTGAAATCGACTCAGCAAGATCGACACCGTACTTTGCGGAAAAGGCAACAGCAATCAATGTAAGAAGCAAAAATCCCATTGTCTAGTATATCAGTTTATCGACTTTATATAGTAATTTTCTATTTTTTTAATAAGTTATATTTATTTTATACTATAATTTAATTAATATTTAATTAAAATGTTACTCAATCAAAAGTAGTATTTTATGAAAAGAAAAAAATAGAACGACTTATTGATATAAAAATACAATTCTTATTGTTTTAATACTATTAATTATAGTTTGATATTACTTTTCAAACTAAATTCTTTATTTTTCAAATCTACTTGAGATTTCTTTCAAAAAAAGTCAACAAATTATGAAACATTCTTTTAATCCATCGTATTAATTATTGTTTATTAGATCAATTAATCAACTATATATATAGTAACATTAAACCAATTATTTAGAAAATGTTATTAATACTGTAATAAAATATTAATATTGTCAATATTTTAAAACCAAAAAATTCTTATGATTCCAATTATTAATTCTAAATTAATTAAAATTTTTTTAGAATTAAAAAAACAACTATTAATAAGTTTCAAAAATATTCAGTTCTTTCAATATTTCAAAATGGAACTTGTAGATTAGTATCTTGTAATTCAAGTTAGAAAAACTCAAACAATTTTGAAAAAATTTTGTTTGGTTTTTGTTTAAAAAAAGGAGAATGGTTTCAGGAACATCCTGAAATAGTTTTCAGTTCTTCAAACTCTACAAACTGCAAATTCACAAAAACACATGCCAGGAGATCTTGACATCGACCGCATTATCAACCGCCTTTGGAACTATGAGATGTTGGAGGAGTATTTAATTTACCAACTCACCAACAAAGTTGTTGAGCTGATGTCGAAAGAACCAACTGTATTAACACTCAATTTGCCGTGCACTGTTGTTGGTGGTTTGTGTGAATACTTTTTCAATTAAAATCTTTGTTACTGACGAAACAGATATTCATGGACAATTCCACGACTTAAAAGAATTGTTTTCTATTGCGGGTACCCCACCAGAAACAACATTTGTATTCTTAGGAGATTATGTCGATAGAGGTCACTACGGACTCGAGTGTTTGTTGTTACTTGCAGCTCTCAAATTGCGATTCCCAACAAAAGTTTCTTTGTTACGAGGTAACCACGAGTGTTCACTTCAAACGCGAGACTATGGCTTTTATGACGAGTGCATGAAGAAATATGGTAATGTCAACGTGTGGAAAAAGTGCATTTCAATATTTGAATTCATGGCGACTGCAGCTACTTTGGATAACTCAATTTTCTGTGTCCACGGTGGTCTTTCTGAGACTGCCACCACCCTTGATTCAGTTTGTTTAAACCTTTTCAAGCAAACAATAATAACAACAAGATCAAAGCACTAGAAAGAACACGACAAATCCCACCAACTGGTGGATACTGTGAATTGATGTGGTCCGACCCCGACGAGAATCAACTCGAGAAATTCAAAAAATCCAGCAGAGGTGCCGGGTGTATGTTTAATTCTGTTGCTGTTCAAGAATTCAACCAAACAAATAACACACAACTCGTCTGTAGAGCACATCAACTTGCACAAGACGGGTACCAATGGTTCTTCAAAAACTTATTGGTAACTGTCTGGAGTGCTCCAAAGTACTGCTACCGTATGGATAATGTTGCCAGTGTCATGGAAATCGACTCGCCAACTTCTTACAGTTTTAAGGTCTTCGAGGCTGCTCCACAAGACACCAATGGCTTTGTCAGCAAAAGAAATCTGCCAGAGTGCTTTATGTGAGCAATTCCTTTTTCATTTGTTGGGTATTTCTTTATGTTTTATCTTTCTTCCATTTGATATAATATCTTACATATTTTCAATATGTTATGATAATCACTTTCTTTAAGAGTTGTTTCAGAGTGATCTGTAAAATCCAAACGACGATGCCACTGTTTTATAACCCAGGAAATATAACAGCAGAGGAATATAAAAAGGAGAAGGAGTTGTTTGTAAGTAACTATTCGGGGAGTTCCTATTTATTACTTTTGTCGATGTTTACAATTAACATCTATTTGAATTACTTCCACCACTTACTCCACCACTTCTACCCTATACTCCACGAGAACTTTGTGGTGTACGTGATAAGCGACTTACTCATATCTATTCCATCTATACTCATACCAATGTTCTTCCCCTCAGTCGTCTACCCACTTGTTATTGTTTTGACTTTGGTGTACATTGTGGCGTGCTATCTATATCCACAAGACCCAAAGAAAAATACTTTCAAAGCCGTTTCTGTGGGGTTTGTCGAGTTCAGATCAATGATCAATTTGTGGACGTTGATCGCCATTTTGGCTGTGGATTTTAAAGTGTTTCCACGAATGCACACAAAGTCGGAGTTCTACGGCGTCTCTTTGATGGACATTGGTGTTGGCGCAATAGTTGTGTGTAGTGGAGTTGCTGCGGGGCTCAAAGAGAATACGACGCCGTACTTCAAGAACTTGGTGAGTAACATTTTACATTCAATTCCATTCTTTGTGATTGGAGGGGTTCGTTTGTTGGCAACAGGAGCTGTGAATTACCAACATCATATGAGTGAATATGGTCTTCACATGAATTTTTTCTTCGTGTTGGGGTTCGTTCAAATTTTGACTGCTGTGATTAACTCCCCACGAAAATATTGTTGGATCGCTTCTCTTCTTCTTATTTCGAGTTATGAAATGGTGTTGAATGTTTTCGACTTGTATACTTACACGTTGACAGCAGACAGAGCAACAAGTTTCTTTGCAGCAAATCGTGAAGGGGTTCTCAGTGTCTTTGGATATACTGCAATTCAAATTGGAAGCACTGCAATTGGGTATTATTACTCCCTTTACACGACAAAGTCGGACAGAATTCAGTTGAACATTAAAGTCCTATTTATATCCTCTTTGATGTTTGTTGTTTATGAAGTACTTTCAATCTACCTTCTTCCGTGTCGGCCATTAATAAACATCACTTACTTTTTGGCGGTGATGTCCATGATGATGGTGTGTTATTCCATATGTGACATCATTCCAATGTTCCTTCCAATCACTCAAACAGCTGGTTCCAATGGGTTATCCCTCAATCAACTCCCACTCTTTTTAATCGCCAATTTATTGACTGGTCTCATCAACTTGACTGTATACACACTCTATGTACCTTTCTTTGATACTCTAGTCATTCTTTTCTCTTATATCGCCTGTGTAAGATTACAAGCATTTTTCCTTGGGTACTATCGATGGACCTTCAAGATTCAGTCTCTCCAATTAGTCCAATTAGACACAGATTATCGAACGCCTCTCCGAGTGTATTCTCCACTCTCTCTGTTTAAACAATCGCACTCAAAAAAGACTGACTAACTCGCGTTTCTCTTCTTTCTTGTTCGTGCTCAAATAACAATAAGAACTTTTAATTAACATTGAATTAATTTTCTAATGGAATTTACATTCAAATTGCTTAATCGCCCTCAACATCTCCAATCCCTCCGTCCGTAATCGAAAAAGCAGCTTCTGACTCCGGCAAGCACGGACTGTCGTACACCTTACAGATTCTCGACTCTCCTTTGCCTTTTTTGAGGTACAGACGTGTTGTGCTTGCGTGCGCAATGATATTCCCACCAACCGGTTTCTTGTTATCTCCTCCAAACATTGAGGCTTGTCCATCGACTTGTGCCACCACTTGATTAGTCAACACAACAGCAACAGAAAACTCGTCAGCCATTCTCTGTAAGCTTCTCAAAAATTTGGCCAAATGCATTTGTCTTGCGGCTAATTCTCCTCTTCCGCTGTAGTCGGTTCTATACAGTGCAGTTGCAGAGTCAATGATGATCAGTCCATATCGGTCTTTTGACATCATCGCAGACGCCGCTTGTAACAAAGACATCTGATGTTCGGTGTTGTGTGCTCTGGCCACCACAACATTATTCAAAGCCTCTTCCGCATTCAGACTATACCGCTCTGCAATTTGTGTCAGTCTTTCCGGCCTAAATGTACCTTCTGTGTCAATGTACATCGCTCGACCTTCCGTTCCACCGTCTTCAATAGACAATTGTGATGTGACACAGAGTTGGTGGCACAGTTGTGTTTTCCCTGTTCTGAACTCCCCAAAGAGTTCTGTAATGCTTCCAGTCTCAAAGCCTCCATGAAGCAATTTGTCGAGTTCTCTCGAGCCAGAAGTAATCCGTAATGTCTCTTTTCGTATTGTGTTGATATCAGATGCATTAACAAACCCCATTGGTACTAATTTAGTGGCCTCCAAAAGAAGTTTGTCTGCTTTGTTCTCGCTAATTCCTTTAATGGTGATCAATTGTTTTTTGGGTGTGAAGGCAACAGATTGCACCGTGTAAAATCCTGCATCTTCTAACTTCTTCACATCGCCTTCAGTTATACCAGAGACACCAACTAATTTGTGAATGGATATTGTTGTTATCCCTTCTTCTTCGTCATCAGCATCAGCCTTTTCGTCAACTACCTCGACGGCCTTCTCCGACTCTTCGGATGATTCCTTCGCTTTCTCTTTCGCTGCTGACATTTTTAATTATAAAGTTCACTCCAGATCTTTTTAAAGAATAGAGTTGAGGTTTTATACCAATTTGGTCGAACAAAAATTGTATTAATAATTACTATATGTTATTAATACATCTATCAGTGGAAAAAGGGAAATTATTTACTGTTGTTTTGATAATTAAATAATTGAGGTTTTCATTATTGGTTATTTTATTTTTTGAAAAGAATAATTAAAAAATGATATAAATAATAAGTAATATTATAATAAATGATATTTAAAGATATAATTTTAAATGGTACTTTATTGTTAATATTATTTCATACGGTTTTGTAACGTTTTATATGCGACATAATACACGTGAAAAGTAAATATGATTCAGTGTCTTTCATTGTTTTTTCTTAACAACAGTGAAAGAACCATTACCAGTTTCATTCTGAATGGTCACGTTTCAAATTCATACCTTTGTAGTACTAAAAAACAATTTTTTATAGTTATTTACAATTACAACAAAATTAACCGTTTTGTCATAAAACGATATATAATTGTGTCGTTTTACTATAACAAATCTACAGCATCGGTACTAATTGCTGTTGATATGTTTGCATTTGTTAATAAATACCTTTTAATTTAACTTTTTTATTTATTTTTCCACTTTTATATATTTTTTCACATTTAATCTCATTTCCCGAAAATGTGGCATATTATCTCATTGTTTTTCCTATCATCAAAATATATATATTTTAATTTATTTTATTATACTATTTTTTTTTATCCACAACTTTTGTCAACCCTAAAATACACATGGAAACAATTTTTTTTTACTATAATATAGTTTAATTTAATCTGAATATAATTATAATAAAAAATTACAATTAAGTTTAGATATAATACTACAAATTATTTTATTATAATAATAATTAATAATTTATATACATATTATTAAAAAAATATAAAAACAATTTTTTGAATATTTTCTTGAATTCCAACCAATAATTCCACAAATCCAAATCTAATTGTTCTTTACATTTTTTGACGAACATCATCCTTCTACATCGTATTGATAAAATAAGACACGAACTTGTTTTTTAATGTTTGAAACTTTCCTTTTAACCGTTCTTTGTTCAACATTAAGTTTAGCTGATTATAATTATACAACGCCTGGTTGGTGTAAAAATGACAATTCTATTTATTATGATTATAACAAGGGAGTATGTACATTAAGAGGATGGAATATTATATCAAATGACGATTCAAGTGTACAACAAGACAACATTACTTTTACATTACAAGCCGATTCTGTGATGGTTTTCAATAGTGCATCACTAAAAAGTGATGCTATTTACTTGTATACAAGGCATTTTAAATTTGATAACGGAAACAAGATGAATTCCCTGTTGTTTGTGAATCGAGACAAACCTGAACAAAATATCATTCACGACACAAACCGTCCAAATGGACTGTATATTGGAATTGGGTGTTATGATTGGGTCACTCCCAAAAATGTTGCGTGCCGAACAACTGCATATGAAAATGCACGAACAATTGTAGATATTCATTATAATGGGGTGTTATTATACTCAGATATCAATGAAAAGTTTATATTAAACATATGGAGATATTCAAATCAAACGAATCCCGTCCAATTGTACATTGAAGGTGATGTATCACAAGACGTCACCGTTCAATTAAAAAACTTCCCATCACGAAATGATTATAATAAAGCGAATTATATTTTTACTGGCAAAAACATTTACAATATAAATTTATTGAATGGAAGTAACCAATACATAACGAGAGCTTGTACCAGAAATGCTATATCTCGATTCATTTTATTGTCTTCAAATAATCCAGTCATTGATTGTGATTGTATCCCTGACAACGCAACTGTTGCAACGGCATTCAACTACCCCGATTGTCAATATAACAACTCCTATTTTGTTATTAATTTATCAAAACTCGAAGCAACAAATAATATTGTTACAACAATTTTCGAACAATCAATTTGGTACTCATTATATGTGAATGTTCGAATACAATATTTAATCACTTCAACCAACGACACACTGTCTTTCAATATAATTACTGTTAGAGAAAACACAAACGTTCTCTTTAACACAATGGTACAAACAGACACAATCGAAATCACTGGGAGTGCAAACTTCACATTTGCGAAGGGGGTCGATGTTACAACAATTATAATAACAAATAACACTGCTGATAAATTTGTGTTGTTTTATGTACATGAGGAGTTCACAATTCCTGATGGTGTGGATAGGTGTGGATATCGTGTCATAAAGAGTGATACTCCAAATAGATCCACATTATGTAGTTGTACATTCGATTCAAATGGATATGATTCTTTTGACTGTTCTTTGAACATATACAAAAGTGGCATGTATCTCACGATCGACAGCACTAATTACAGAACAGTCACACAAGAGACTTGGATTGATATCATTCAAAATCAAGAATTAACAATTCCACAAGGAACTTCTTTATTGGCAACACATTGTACCTTCCCTTATAAAATGGATGTGTTTGGAAATATAAATTGCTTGTTTGTGAGTTTAAGTGAATTGAGTAATGTCACTCTGAAAAATGGGTCCTCTTTTAATGTTAATTCATTAACATTTACTAAAACGAGTGAATTTATTAACGAGAATGGTATTATTAAAATTGAAAGTGGTAGTCTTTTTGATACTAAAAGTTCAACAATTACAATTGAATATTTCAACGATGTTTGTGTTGATTTGATCTCTTTCAAAGAACAGAAAATGATATCATTTACACATGGAAATTATTACAACAACAAACTTCTTCGTGTGTGTGGCGGAACTGACACAAACAAAATTATTTGTAAGATGAGTGGAGAAAAGATTTCTGAATCTTCTAGTTTTATATATCCAATGCACTGCCCAATATACACCAACTCAAGTTTGTTCAAGGTTGAATCTGAAAAACTGACTATCGACAGAGCGTATAACGGTTACTTTGAGTTGGAGACACCAATACTTAGTTTGAGCAACAAGATGAATAATCAAAACATTCAAATAATGGATAACTCGCTCATAACAAAAAGTGTTTTACATTTTACTGATGACTCTTTGGAAACAACAATAGATACTTTGGATTACAAAGAAAAATTACTTATAAGTAACAAATTCAAGTTTGGGGATACATCTAAGAATACACAATTAGACAAATCCAATCATCGTATAAAAAGTGCTACACAAGTTATTTCTGTTTCAGAAAGCAACATATGTAAAGCTTATTATTTGATAAATAAAGACGGTATTTCAACCAAGCAATGTCTTATTTGTGATGAATTGTTGTATAATGGAAATTGTTATCATAGAGAAGAGTGTATAACAACAACTAATATGAGTATATGCGAAGAATGTCAACCGACATATGAAGTAGTCAAAAGTGGATGCTTAAGTTGTCGATCAAAATGTCGGAGATGTGTGAGTGGAACATGTATTCAATGTATGGATGGTTATGGGTTCAATGAAACGAATGAATGTCTTTTAAATGGTGATAACATAGAGAATTTCAACAATAAAGTGTTGTACTGTAAACCGACGTTCTATTTTAAGAAGACAAAGTGTGACTATTGTGGAGACAATTGTGCTTCTTGTTATTATGACATGATCATTGACAAACCCATTTGCACAATATGTACATCACCATTTGTTTTGGAAAATGACACATGTATACTTGAAAATGTGGGGGGTGTCGACATAATACGAAATACACAAATCACTTCATGTAAAAGAGGGTTTTACATTTTAGATGGCAAATGCATAGGTTGTCATTCTTTTGGAGAGTCGTGCAAATACTGCAATTCAAAACAATGTCTTCAATGTGTTGGTGGAAATGTCGATGCAGAAGGAAAATGTCAAACAACTGAAATATCGAAGTGTGTTCCATCAACAAACACATATTGTACAAAATGTGTATCAACAAAAGATTACATATCAAATTCAAAATGTGTTGAAAATGAACTCAATTGTTCGGTTGTGAAATTTGATGGTTCAAAATGTGACATATGTTCCAACTCACTTTTGCTCTTAAATGGTAAATGCATTAAAAGAGTTGATAACTCGACGGAGTGTGATTTCTGGAGAGAAACAGAAGATGTTTGTCTTCGGTGCGAACTTGGTAAATATTATGAACCCACCAGTTTGTCGTGTGATAACTGTAGTACCAATTGTTTAAACTGTTTCAACTCAACCAAGTGTCTTGGCTGTGAAGAAGGTTATTTATTAGCGAATGGTTCATGTACTATTTATGAAGCCGTAAGTAGTCATTGTATCAAAGTAGTTCCATTGTCCTCGTTTTGTGCGATATGTGAAGGTATGTATTACAGAACCAACGAAGGAGTATGCGAAAAGTGTATATCCAATTGTGATGAATGTATTTCGGGTGATAGATGTACCATTTGTGGTACAAACTTTTACTTACTTTCAAATGCCACAAAATGTGTTTCATTTGACGCTTTAACAAATTGTGATATAAAGACGTCTCGTGGGTGTTCATATTGTTCATCTGGTTATTATCTGGAAGAACAAACATGTTTCAAATGTGACCAAAAAACAACTTTTTGTGAGAAGTGTTCCCAGAGTGGTCGTTGTAATTTATGTGTCCAAAACTACATATTAAAAAATGATGAATGTGTTTCCAAAATTGATGTTGATAATTGTGTTGAGGTATCCAATTCAAAATGTGTAAAATGTACTTTTTGGCACGTTCCGACTGATGAAGGTACTGGGTGCAAAACACATGTGGTGTGGTGGGTGTTATTTATTGTGATTGTGATTTTCCTCATTTTTATTCTATTGATCATTTTTGCCATTTTTAGACTGAATTTACTGATCATCAAGATGCGGCGAAATGCAAAACTACGAAAACAATTTTCAATATTTGACATGAAACACTCGAACATCCAATTTGTGAGTACAAACACGAAAGGAGTTGTTGTCAGCGAGAAGGTTTTGTTATTTGAAACTTCTTTAGACAAGCCTGAAATACCAGTAGAAGTTGAAAGTCGTGAATTGATATGTGTTGGCAACACCTCCAAAAGTTCCATCAAAGTGCAGTTTAGTATGAAAGACGATTGCGAGAAATATTCAATGCGGACCGTCCCACAGATTATGACAATCCCAAAGGGGAAAGCACTTGAATTTGAAGTATTTTTAACTCCGCACTGTGGAGGCACAATTGAAGATAAAATCATTTTAATTTCAGTTTGTATGAAAAATGGTGTAACTTCACAAGTTGAAATACAAATCAAGGGTGAAACAGAGATATCCACTCGAATTGATGAAGATGAGTTAATAGAAGAGAAGAAGATAGGGCAAGGCAGTTTTGGAATTGTGTATAAAGGGGTGTTTCGAGGCAATCAGGTTGCAATCAAGAAGATGAAAAGTGTGACGGAAGGGGTTGAAGATTTTGAGAAGGAAGTTGCGATGCTTGAAAAGTTTCGAAGTGATTATATCGTTCACTTTTATGGAGCTGTCATGCTTAAGAAAAAAAGATGTTTAGTCACAGAATTTGCTCCTTTTGGCAGTCTTGAGGATTTGATTGAAAAGACCACGGACTGTAGTCCAGTCGAAATGTCTATGAGAGACAAATTCATGTTGGACGCTGCTCAAGGTATTCTATACTTACACTCCAATGGTATTATCCATAGAGATATCAAACCAGATAATATTCTGATAATGTCACTCGATCAAAACAACAAAGTAAATGCTAAATTGACTGATTTTGGATCGTCGAGAAACATCAATATGTTGATGACTAACATGACTTTCACTAAAGGAATAGGAACACCTAAATTCATGGCACCCGAAGTTTTGAATAAACAGAAATACAAGAAAGAGGCAGATATTTTCTCTTTCGGAGTTACATTGTTTGAATGTTATAAATGGGGAGAAGCATACCCTAAAAATGAATTTAAATACGCATGGAATGTTGTGGAATTTATAATGAGCGGGAAAAGACTTGCAAAACATGTTGAAATGAATGATGAGAGATATGGTATCATCTCAAAGTGTTGGGAAACAATACCAAATGAGAGATTAACGGCTCAACAAGTTGTGGACATGTTGAGTGTTCATGTTAAATAATTAATAATGTTGTTGTTATTTTAATTTTAAATTTGTTGAATTTAATGTTATGTTGTGTTTCCATTTACTCTTTTGTGATAAATGGATCTACTATATTATTTCAATTCAAAAACCAATTAATAACCATCGTCAATTTTTATTTTCTAAACAAAACGATTACAACTTTTTAACAACAATCTTTAAATAGTTTTGAAAAGGAAAATAAGATAATCATTTCTTGTTAATTACAAAGACGTTTTCAATTTTTGAAATGTAATCCTTTTTTCAAATTGTACTATAACTTTTTTATCAAAGTATTTTACCATTCTGTCACAATCAATTACAACACAACAATAAAAAACTTGCACATATCAATCGGAAATTAACAGATAATTTAACTGTTAAATACACATTCGTTATTATTCTAATTAAAAATTCAATGATGCAACCATTGCTTTTTAACAACAGTAAAATTATATAAATTTACCCAAAGTTTTTTCAAATAATATAAACTGTTTTTCAAAAGTCGGTACCGAAAGGACCCGACTTTTTGAAGTAAATGATTCCAAATATTTTTCATTTTGTTTGACATCGTTTTTTTGCTTATTTTTTTCCCTCTTATTTTTTAAAAAACAAACTTGACTGAACCTTGAATTTAGACCAAGCTAAAAAATTAAATAAAAAATAACAAGGAAAATATCAAATAACTTACTTCTTCAAAAATTTTGCTTGACCATATGGTTGTTTTTGCCGTGAGTAAAACCGACTTTTTCTCTTTTCAAAAGAAAATGTTAATGATCCAACAAATAATAAAAATCTTTCAATTTCATTAACACTTACAACACAAAGAAAAGATTATTGAAAATAAAAATAACCATTTAATATGTGTAGTGTTTCAAAGTTTGTTTTTTTTAAAGAGACAACCATAAAATAACAACAAGTTAGAACGATTTATTGTGTATTTTGAAGTGGGGGAGAGTCGTAATGTGAGAGGTAAAATACGGTTATCTCACCCATTCAAACTACTCGTCCATTACCAAAAGGCAAAAATGCCGATTTTTTGAGAATCTCAACAGTGAAAAAGACTGAATAACAGTCTCAGAAAATCGGACAAGTTTGTTCTAATTTTTTGTTAAAATCCCGAAATTTTAATTGAAATTTATAACTGTATTGGTTTTGAGGGTTAAAAAGTCGGTACTGTTTTTTCTTTTTTTCAAATGGAAATTATAAATGAAAACAACAAAAAAACTTTAAAAAACGGGAATTTATTATAAAAGGGTTTCCACTAATAATTGGTAAAGTACCGACTTTTGGCATACAGTTTAGTTTGTTACAAAAATTATTTAAAATCATTATGATATTTAAAAAATAAACAACAATTGTATTTTATGAACCTTTGTGACAACAAACAAAAAATACATTATTTTTTGAAATTGATTTCTGTTTGTAAAACAATTTAACGATATTATCGATTTAATTATTAAGGTATCTCAAAAGAACAGGAGGTAATTAATTGATAACAAAATGTTGAAATTTTAATATTTTAAATGTTTTACTGTTTTGGTAATCACCTTCTGTGTGTTATATCTATATATATGTTTTAATGTTTTTTGTAGTTATGATAATAAAAATTTTAATATCAAAAAGTTAAAAAATAACAAATTGTTTTCAAAAGATAAATAAATTCTATTCTGAACAAAAACAAAACAAATAATATGATAATGTTTTAAAAAAATATTAATGAAATAATCAAAAAGAACACTATTATTTGATTAAAAATATGGTTTTAGAAAACCATATTGATATATTATAATTTCTTATAATTTATTTTATTTTAAAAAAAAAAGAATCTGTCTTGGCAAAATGAACAAAGTTTAACATTATTTGATTTCCTTTTTTAATGATTCATATAAATATAAACATTTTAGTAGGTTCAATAATTAATACAAAATTATATCATTCGCCAACTTTTTAAATACAATTGTTATTATAACTGATTGCCAGTTTCTTGTAAATATTAGGTCAATTTATTGTAATATAACAGGCATCATGAATTTAATTATATTTAGACGATAAAGTATTCAACATCGGCATTTATAAAAACCTTTACCATCAATTACACCCTTTTTCACATTTCATTATAAAAATAACAAACAAAAGAAACCTGGAGTACTCCTGTTTTTCCATTTCAAACACTTCGAAAAAACAACAAACAATACTTTTAAATGATAATTTGCAATTAATAACATGTGTTTTTTATAACACCCTCTCCCAATAATTTCCTTAAATGCTGGCTGGTATAACTGAACAAAAAATATTGTATTGAAATTAAAATAACGAATCTCCGAAATCATAATAGGCATTTTTTATTGCTCCAACTAATTTGGAATGAATTATAGTATAAAAAGTGATCATTTAATAGTTTTTACAACTGTTTGTATTGCCACGAAGTAAAAGTGCTCAAATGTAGCCAAGTCCACGAATGAACAATTCTTGTCAAACTCCCGATTGTTTTATTTTGGGGTGGCAGTATTATACCCTTTCCCTCTTTAACAACTATATGATTATTGTAAAATAACTATCAATGTATAGTATCTGAAATCAATTATTTTTAAAACAACCCAAAAAATGAACCCCATTATTATGGCCAATTAACACATTAAATAACTGCGAGTATTCGGGCTTTATAACATGAATGGTGTGTAATTCATAAATAGAAAACTTGTGTTTGTGGTTACCAAAAGTATAAGAACTCCGAACGCCACAATCATAACTGTCATGGAAAGCTTTCTAACTATGAACGTCGGTATTACACACGAGATAAAGAACATCTCCACGATCACTATCTGCGGCGTTACGTGTTCTATTTCGACTATCACACGATCACATCCAGACCTCAAACAATTCACCCTCTTTGATATCGACACAACAACACTCAATGGCACAACAGTAGAAAACGCACTGACAGCAATTAAAACGGCTAAGTCAGTTCTTCCTGTGGCGGCAACTTATAAACACCAAAATGGTGTTTTTATCTTATGTTGCGAATCTTGTCTGTTCGACGAAGTCACCAAAGAAAAAATAACAACCGACCAAGCAAAGTACTTTTTCTCTGACATTGCAACATTACTTACAATTACTGACCCTTTGTCTTACTTACTTAAAACAGAAACTGTACTCTTTAAGTTGGATCCTATACACTCTACTTGCAGATCAAGATGTGACACGCCATCATCTCCACTTCCCCACTTGTTGTTGTCCCCGCTTGCATTCTTCTTGAAAAGCGATAAGATGACCAAAGAAGATCTGAAAATGGATTCACTCCTCTTAATAAGCAAACTCACAAATTTCATTGCGTTGTTGGAAGACGACAGCTATCTCTTTGTTAAGGAGGCTAAACACTTTGTTGGGTCTTTTATGAATAAAAGTTTGGAAGAACAACTCAATTCCGACTTCCTCAAAAATTGTAAGACATTCCAAGAGCTCCCCAAGGGTACCCTTTCTGATTACAAGGCAATCAATTTCATTGGAAATGGAGCTTGTGGTCTTGTCATGGAAGTTGAAAAAAATGGAGTCAGATATGCTATGAAACAAAGTTGTCGAGCAGATACTCTCCAGCGGGAGGCTCGTGCAATGAAACTTTTTCACCACAAAAACACCGTCAGTTTTGTCGATTACATTGAGTCTGCGGAGTCCTTTGTGTCCCATTTTGGTATCCGGACCAATCGGTCTAAAAAGTATTATTACTTAGTCATGGAGTTATGTGACTTTACTCTTGCAGAATACACTGAAAATAGGGTTTTGAGTGATACAGAACTTTCTTATCTTGTTGAGCAGATCAATTGTGGTTTAGAGTATCTTGTTAAAGTGAAGAAAGTGATGCACAGAGACATTAAATTAGACAACATTCTTCTTAAAGTATCCAAAGATGGGAAGATGCAAGTGAAAATAGCCGACTACGGCTTTTGTCGAAGTATCAACGGCAACACTGAAAGGGGGTTAGTCGGGACTCCAATGTATTCATGTCCAGAAATCTTACAAAAATCAAGTCCGTCAGTCAAGAGTGACTTGTACTCCGTTGGTGTGATGTTCTTCAAAATGGTCACTGGACGGTTCCCTAAACAAAATGAAAACATCCCAACGGGAAATGAAATGAGAGGACTCCAATCACTCATCTCCGGTCTTGTCGACGTCGAAGAGAAACGATTTGGGTGGGATGAATATTTCGACCAGAGATTTACTGTTCATTGCTAATTTATTTATTTTGTACAGCAGAGCGTTCTGGTTATTTTTTATAGTAAAATTACTATTAATGTATAGTTCAACACACTGATATTAAAAGTTAACTAGAAAACACATTCACATGTCAAAGAACAAGTCACTCGCTCTACAACTCCGACCAGAAACAAACGAAATCAAGCTCGCGAAGACAAAGGAATACATTAAATACACACCAATACAACGGGGTAACGTTATTCCTGAAGAACGCATTATCGAAATTATCGACGAGGAAATCGACCCATTCGACCCACCAAAATTTAAGTACCAAAAAGTTGTTGCAAGACAGGTTGTGGAACCGGTGCCAATACTCCACGCCCCACCTAAAAAAGCAACGAAAGAAGAGATGGAGGAATGGAAGATACCTCCATGTATATCAAATTGGAAGAACAAGAACGGATACACCATTGCACTAGATAAGAGAGTCGCTGCGGATGGGCGACACTTGGAGCAAACGGAAATTGGCGAGAGACACGCAGAATTTGCAGAGGCGTTGTACTTAGCGGAAAAGGCCTCTGCGGAAGAGAACGCGAAGAAGGTTGAAATGAAGCGGAAAGTGGAAATGGCGAAGAAAGAGAAGAACGAAGAGGAGATGCGTAAATTAGCGATGGCGATGAGGAAGTTACGAGAAGAGGAAGAAGTGGGTGAAGTTGATGAGGGTCGAGAAAGGAGAGACCAGGCCCGAGAAGAGCGTCGAAAAGATCGAGAAGAGTTTTATCGCAAAGCCGGGTATAAAGGGCTTCAAAAGGATATGGAGAGAGAGCGGAAACGAGATGTTGCGGAGTCTATCGCGCTTGGGAAAAAGGTTGATTCCAAAGATCTTATGTTTGACCAACGATTGTTTAACCAAGAGAGTGGTGTAACATCGGGATTTGGGGATGAAGATGATTATAATGTGTATGACAAAAATTTGTTCAATCCTGAGACTCGGCAATATCGACCGAAGGATGAGAAGGATGAATGATAGAGTCAACACTTTGAGTGTTTCAATGTACCAAAAAGTGATTGTTTTTTGCGGTTTTTTATTTCATAGTCTCATTCAAAATTCTGTTTTGTATTGAATGATGTATATAATTTATAGAGATAACTGATCTTGTAAATATAATGCAACAGTTGCTGTTGAAAAAAGCCGAATTGGAGAAACAAATCCAAATGGAAACAATTCAGTATAACACAAATTTTGAGGTGTACACGCAATTAAACAACGAAATTAAAGAGAGTATGGGGTCGGGCGGGAATGGGTATATGGAGGAAAACGACACGGAACTCCAACAATTGATCGATGAAGAAAGACAACTGAGGTACCAAGTCTTTCTGAAGGAATTTGCAGGACTTCAAAAGAAGAAATACGATATGTCCAATTTCATTCTGGCCCCACAAGTTGTGCCAGAACAACCCACAATCAATGTTGCGCCAATTGTCGTCGAAGAGGTGATAAACGCGCAACCGATTTTTTTGGTTCTCCCGTGTTTGATCGCGAGTGTTGTTGATACAAGAAAAAAAGACATATTGAAGGTGTGTAAATGCACAAAAGTCGGTCTCCGATATGAGAGTGAAAAGAAGGTGTTGACACCCCAGAACGTCGAAGACGCCATTATTAACACTCCACGAATACTTTGTGTTGTTCAAACTAAGTGCGGCAACATCTTCTTTTTCTATGTCGAGGAAAATGGAGATACGAATGAAGTCTTTGTTGGCTCTTTGGTTTCGCCACTTGTTGGGATAAATGAAGTTACATTAAACAGTATTGGGCATGCGTTCTCGTATCGAAACGAACTAGTTTTTGGAGAAATCGTTCTTTCTTTTGATGGAAAAATCCGTGGCAACTTAGACGCACTCTCCGTTTCAAATGAATTCACGTACTTGAGCCTTTACAAAGTTTTTAAGTGATATTTTGCTGTTTGTTTGTTGGTTAGTATAGAAACTATAAATTTGTGGTTTATAAATTAACTATAATTAATAATTTAAATACTATTTATTCAAATTATCGAACTTTATTTTGACAATTTAAGTAATAATTTGGCAAATTGATAATTCAAATTCTATTCTTAGTGAATTCCATTTTCTCAAAAAACTATATTGTTATAGTATAATTGTTATAAAATATAGTTGACTTGACAAGTAAACGAAAAATGAAAACTACAAAAGTCAATGGAGTTTATTGCAACGCTGATTTTATCAGTGATTATACCAGGTTTAGGCATGCTAAAGAAATCACTAACAATCCCAGGAGCAATATTTGCGTTTGCAACTGCAATGCTCCATTTTGCGCCTGGACTAACTCCCGCTATCTACGTATCAACGTTTTTCATCACGTCGTCTGCACTCACCAAAGTTGGAAAACAAAAGAAGAAAACAATTGAAGCAACATATGCAAAAGGTTTGTAATATTATAATTATTATAATTATTATAATTATTATAATTATTATAGTTATTATAGTTATTACAGTTATTACAAGAGAAATGAAGTGAACTTACATAGAGAATCAGTGAGAGGCGTCGAACAAGTCTTTTGCAACAGTTTAATTCCTTCAATATGTTGTTTATTGATATATTTTATGAAAGGGACATACAAAATAGAATATTGCAACACCCCAACAACTTTGGAGACCCTTATATATGGGATGATACCAGGGTTCTACAGCTGCACAAATGGAGATACTTGGTCGTCTGAGATCGGGGTATTGAGCAAAACACAACCATTCCATTTGACTCTATTTAAACGTGTTCCAACCGGAACAAATGGCGGAGTAAGCTTAGTTGGAGTTGTCGCGGGGTTATTAGGTTCTTTACTCATTGGAACAATTGCTGCATTATCGCAGACTCTAATATGTGGATTCGAAGTACATTCTGCTTTCTTGGTTTTGACTTCAGTCACTATAAGTGGAGTCATTGGGAACTTTTTAGATAGTCTAATTGGTGGAACACTTCAATACTCCGGGTGGGATAATGTTAACAAACGTGTTGTGAGAGAAAACGGCGAAAACGTGACTAGGATTTGTGGACAAGACATCTTGTCAAATTCAATGGTCAATTTGATCACTTCTACAATATCAGGTGTCATCTGCGCTACACTCTTTGTGTATTTCTCACTCTAATTTATGAGTCAATATCTTTTTTTTAACAATAACTTTAGATGGACTAATTCAGATGATTGGATGTTTAATACTGTATATAATCTAATTGCTTAAATTTTCATCATTTTACGTGGAGAGTAATTATTGTTGTCCTTGATAAATTATTACCATCAAATTATACTAAATTTTATCAAATGTTATAAATAAATATAAAACTAGAATTTATATCACTTTTATTATTTCTTTTTATAATACTATTATAGTAAATTTAATTATTACATTTTGTGCATAAAAAAAAACAATTTTGTTTCTTTTCAAATAATTGTATTTATAAATTATTATAGTTTTATAGTTAATAAACTATTCAAGAAGAAAAAATGGAACAAACCAATGGGACGATTGTTTGGTTTTGAATACAATTAAGAAGTAGATTTGGTTAAATAATGAAATGCTATTCCCAGAAGTCCATTTGTCATACCTAAAACTCGAACCCGTGTCTATAGTAAAAATGATGTATTTTATTAAAACAATCAACTAGAAAAAGAGCCAAAGGAATAATTAGAATCGATTTTTTTATACTTTTCCCATGAAAATGAGGCTTTTGAAGAGAACAACAATCGGAAACTTTGTCCAACAAAAGAAAAAGTTTAATTCTGTGAACGAAAGAGGAGAAAAAATAAGAGCAAATTATAACTAACAAAAACAAAATGACTTTGCTCCTTGTGGCGACTGGCCTTGTCCTTGGATGGCTTCTTTCATACTTCTTCCCATGTAAAGAAATCTTGTACAACCTTTATTCGCAACTCTTTAAACGTTTCACAAGAGCCACTGGTATCCACGGAATGATCCAAAAGGAGATCACAAAGTCAGTGAACTATCTTGCCGACGGATTGAAAATCAAAGAATTCGACAACTACACTGAGATACCTGAGGTCGGACTTTCAAAGGACAAAATGTATGAATTGCTCGAGACCCGTATGAACTACGACAATAATGTCATTAAGAAGAAACATATTTCTGGGTCATTCTATTCGGCATCACCTGAGCGTCTTGAGGTGACAAGTCAAGCTACAAAGCTCTTTGTTTTATCAAACCCATTACATGCAGATAACTGCCCTTCTGTAAGAAAGATGGAGGCGGAAGTTATTCGAATGACATCGAATATGTTACACGGCAGCGAAGGTGTGAGAGGCATGATGACTACTGGCGGGTCCGAGAGTATTATTTTGGCTGTAAGAGCGCATTACCTCAATGCTATTAAGAACAGAAATGTACCACAAAATGAGTGTGAAATTGTTATGAGTCTCAACGCACACCCCGCATGGTTGAAAGGATGCGAATTGATGCACATCACTCCCGTTATCATTCCAATCAATGACAAGTTTGCTATGGGTGTTGATGATCTCAAATACAAAGTGACTGAAAAAACTGTCTTGGTTGTGGTCAGCGCACCGTCATATCCACATGGAAATATCGATGAAATTGAAGGCATTGCGACTTATTGTAAATCGATGGGTGTCCCAGTTCACGTCGATGCGTGTTTGGGTGGATTTGTAGACGCATGGGGCGAGGCCGCAGGGTTCAACGTCCCCAAATTTGACTTCCAAATTGAAGGTGTGAGGAGCATATCGTGTGATACACACAAATATGGGTATGCGCCAAAGGGATCTTCTGTGCTTTTGTTTGACAACGAAGAGCTGAGAAATATAGTGTTCTTCAGATATCCAAAATGGGTTGGTGGGTTGTACTGTTCACCATCTATTCCGGGGAGTAGAGCTGGGAGTGCTATTGCGGGTGCTTGGGCTTCATTATTGTTTACTGGTAAAGAGGGGTACATAAAAGCCTCGAAAGGCATATTGGGCACCGCTAAAAACTTGAAGAAGGCATTAAGTACAATGGAAGGAATCAAATTGATTACCGACTTGAATCAAGACACTTCCGTTGTTGCGTTCACAACGACAAAATTGAACATTTACAAAGTCAGTGATTGTATGAATAAGGAATTCAACTGGGAATTAAACACTTTACAATTTCCATCTGCAGTGCATTTGTGCTTGACCGAAAACACGATCGGCTGCGAGGAGGAATTCTTGAAGGACTTGAAAAAGGCTATGGACATCATAGAGAAGGACCCCAGTAACAAGAAGTACAATGTCTGGGCACCAGTGTACGGAATGACATCATCGATTCCTGATAATGACACTTTGGAAGACATGGTTGGGCAAGTTATTGCGCAGTACTGTGATGTGATCTAATGGTTTAATTATGTGTTGAAGTGCTATTTGGGTTGATACAAAATTCATAATTATAATGAAGTATTTTTTTATAGAAATGGAATGAAAAAATACTTTAAAACATAACATGGATCTGTGATTATTGTATCAAAAATAAATTCTTTCGACTCAAGTATTATACAAGTATAGTTACTATTAATAATAAAACTATATTTTTTACTACAACATTGTTCAAAAAATGTTTTGGAAAGAAATAAATGAAATATGTGAAATTTAAAAAAAATAATTCAAATTGCTTTGAAAAAAAAACACAAAATCACAATTTGGCATTTTTTCAATCATCTTTTTGGCATTTTAAAAATAGATTAACACTCAATAATGTCAATTTAGTTTTTGAACTTTAAAATATTGAAAAAAACAAAAAAAATTATGTATTACTTTTGTTGTTTCTTTTTGTTGGAAATTTATAATAAAAGCGAATTTGGTTATGAGAAGTTTTGAATGCTGAAAAACGATTTGATATCAAAGAAAATTATTTGTTTAGGCTTTTTCAAAACAATTATCTTTACAACAGCCAAAAAAAAGACTATTTTGATGCAGAAAGATTTTTGGCAAAAAATCTTTCATTTTGAGTTTATTTTGCCGAGGTGGTTAGTATTTTTGTAATTGTTATAAATAATAATAAAAGTATCAAATTAAATTGTTTTTAAAATAACAATTCGAACAAAACTAAAATATACCTTTCAAAAATAGACTTAAGTAGAAAAAACAAACTATAATATATAGTAAAATTACTATATAAATAAACCATGTTAAAAAAGTAGAACTAAGAATTCTTCTTGTTAAAAACAGAATAAACGAAAAACATGAACTCTGAGATTATAAAGTCCACAAAAACGGGAATGTGGCCAAGTAAATTCACAACATTCATTGAAAAACATCTTCAAAGAAGCATAAAAAGAGTAGTAAAATTCTAATAAAAAAATTAAAAATAAAGTTGATTGTTAAAAATGTAAATACTTATAGTGTCCAAAAATCAAAGAAAAAATAACCAAAGGAACTGGGTTTTCAAAATGCGAATATTAATCCTATTGTCAGCATTTGTTTCTCTTTCACTTTCAGAAGTGATTACCTGTACAGATCAGCAGTACTGGGACCAAACACAAAAAAAATGTATGGAATGCGCTGTTACTAATCCAGCAAACAACTGCAAAACTTGTTGGGCAACTGACAAGTGCACTTCTTGCAATGATGGTTTTTACTTGAACGAAGACTATAAATGCAAGGCTCGAGACACACAGAACTGTCTTACATATGATGGGTTGTACTGTATCGAATGTCAACAAGGATACTACATCTCTAACATGCTTTGCTATACTTGTGCCCTTACTAACTGTGCTTATTGTACGTCTACCAAATGCTTCAAGTGTAAAGACAATCTTGTTCTCTATGAATACATCGACACCAACGGCAATGAAAAACAAGAGTGTGTTGACTGTACCCAAACAGCAAACGACGAGAAGTGTGGGAGATGCCCTCTTGGAAAGTACTTTGACCCTGACACATTCACATGCAAAGTGTGCAGAGAAGGGTGCCAACGCTGCACAACCAAAGACAATTGTTACCTCTGTAACACAGACACTGCTCTTATAAACCCGGAGGATCCCACTTCTCAGTGTGGGAAGATAACTGGATGTCTTGACGGAAACTATTATGGCAATCACTGCGAGTTATGTGAAGACACTTATTTCTTGTCATTGGGGAAGTGTGAAAAGTGTGAGACAGGATGCAAGAGATGCATTGATGCAACACAGTGTGTTGAGTGTGAGAACGGTGGGACCTTGACGAACGGGAAATGTACTAAAGACCCCAACTGTGCGAGATCAAGTTCTATTATGGGCTGCATTGAATGTAACGAAGGGTACTACCTTGATGACTCTTCTGTATGCCAAGCCTGCCCTAAACAATGCAGAACGTGTTTGAATAGCAACTATTGCTTTGCTTGTGCCGAGGACTATTACTTCACTGATGCCACTAATGGTGTTTGTACCGTAAAGGATAGCAGAGTTTGTAATGTTGTAGACCAGTACGGTTGCTTGCAATGCAGATATGATGTTACTTATAATGAAACTCTCGACAAAAATGTGAATGAAGACTTGGAGGACAAAAGTAAACTGCCTAAAAACCCTCTTCTCGGCTTTTACTTGCCAATCATACCAAACACAAATCCAGTTAGATACGAACCAACGTGCGAGGCGTGCAATGTCACATGCCGAATTTGTGAATACAACAAGAACTGGTGTACTGGTTGCAATGAAGGGTATGCTCTTGAAATCAACGAAACAGCTAAGGCCGAGTACTCAAAAATATTTGGTGTGAGTGTTGATATTTTCATGTGCATTCCAAAGCCAGATTCGTGTGCTGAAACGGGTTTGTTTACTTTTTATTGTTATTTTAATTAAGAGAAAACTATAATATTTATAATATCTTTTATAGATAATAAATTATATTGTTTATATCATTAACAACAACTTAACACTAGAAATGGGGTATTGTATCAAATGTGCGGATAAGTACTTTATCAGTCAGGTCTCTTGCATTAAGTGCGACGAGTCATGCGATACCTGCACCAAACAAACTTTCTGTCAGTCGTGCAATACTACAACAGTCAATGGGTCTGGAACCAATGCCAATTACTGGAGAAGACCATCTGACAACATGAAGTCCGACGAAGCTAAAGGGTTGTGTCTCAGTGTTGAACAATCGATTGAACAAGGGTATGGCTTAAATTGCAGTGGACCGATTACACAATCTGGTTGTTCTTCTTGTCATATTGGTGACTATCTTGATGACGGAGAGTGTAAGCATTGCCCGAGTGAAGGGAAGGAGAGATGTTACGAATGCAAATTGTCTGCGTTAGACAATGGAACACAAGTTCCCCGTTGTACTTCATGTCAACCCGACACGGAGTATCTTGGAAAGGATGATTTCTTGTGCTATCCCTGTTCTGGCATTAAGAATTGTGCTTCATGTAGTAACAGAGGATGTTACACATGCAACGAGGGATATTCTGTATCCGCCGATAGAATGGAATGTACGAAGGTGAATCTTGCGTTGATCATTCCATTGGTCGTTGTTGGGTTGTTGTTGATCATCATTGTCATTGCCATCATCATCTTCTTTGTCTGGAGACGTAAGAGAAAAACAATGAAGGAGAGAGAAAAGGAGATCAAGCCTTTTAAGGTGTCCAATGCTGTCGAGATGGCTTTGTTGTCGGCAGATAACGCGAACTTCCCATTGAAGACTAACAAGTGGACTTTGAATTTTGGCCACGCCGGGTCGAAGGTTGTCATCGATCAGCCTTATGAAGAAACAGTGGAAGTCTCGAACACCACGAAGAAGTCATACTTCTTCGAAATCATTGCTGGTGCCAACCATTGTTATGACCTTACTGCAGAGCCAATGAGATATACGTTGAAGCCCGGATATGCCATTTCCGTCAAGTTCACCATTAAGATGTTGTGTACTGCTATTGTGAGTAACGATATTGGTATTGTTGCTATGGATATGGACGAGGAGTTGAAAGAAACTGCGAAGTTGTCTATTATCATTGAGTCGGATTTGTCGACCAAATTGAACCACGAAGAGCTGAAGTTGCAGATGCCGGCTATTGGTGAAGGTGCGTTTGGTATGGTCTTCTGTGGTACATACAGAGGGCAAAAAGTTGCTGTGAAGAAGATGAAAGCGAGAAACTTGACTGAAGAACAAGAGAAGGAGTTCAAACATGAAGTCAACATGTTGACACAATACCGACATCCGTGCATTGTGTCTTTAGTTGGTGCGGTTTATACCGAAGGTGAAATTTCTATTGTTACCGAATTTGCGGATTACGGCTCACTGAGCAAGATCTGGGACAAGTCACAGGTTTCACTCGATCTTAAAGTGAAGTTCATGGAAGACTTGGTTGTTGCTTTGGCTTTCTTGCATGACAACAACATCATTCACAGAGATATTAAGGGCGAGAACGTCTTGGTCTATTCACTGAATCCACACTCCCCAGTCTGCGGTAAATTGACGGACTTTGGTACATGCAGAAACATCTCCGAGAGAGCGTTGTCGACGAAAGAATTGTCCCAAGGTATCGGAACACCAACATACATGTCACCAGAGTGTTTGGCTAATACTGCATACACTTACTCGTCTGATATCTATTCACTTGCTATGGTCTTATATGAAACATTCACAGAGAAGCAAGCTTATCTTGAAGACGAAAGATTCAATCAGCCTTGGATGATTCCTCAGTTTGTCATTGAAGGAAAGAGACTTGAGAAGCCAAATGGTATACCAGAGAACTACTGGACTTTAATCGAACAATGCTGGAAACAAGAACCAACGGAGAGACCAACTATCGGCCAAGTCTACCAAACACTTGTCAGCTGGGGGATGGATGTCACTAACACTGAACTCGCTGGACAATCCGCAATGAAACAAATGCCAGTGGAACCACAACAACCAATGGGAACAGCACCAGTTGCAACTACCGAACCACAGGCAGACCAAGCCGATAAGAAGTCTGTTTCATCGAAAGAAGACTAATCGCTACTTTTATTGGCTACTCTTTTGTTTACAATCCGTTTTAATCAACAAACTATATTTTATAATTAAATGTACTTATAATACCATTCAATAATTTTAGCAAAAACAATTAATTTCTTTTACTAATCAAATTTTAATTATTAATCAATTAATTTATAACTTATTAAAAAACTGTTTTGGAATAAAAAACAAATATTATACTTTTATTAATTGATATTCTATTTAACCCTATATTAAGAAACTATAGAATAATTGAAATTGAAACTATGACTATAATACATTTTTCTTGAAGCAGTTTAACTATTAATGTATTAATAAACAAGTATTATTATAGAAATCAGAATGCTTTAAATAACTCGAAATAACTATTTGGGAATGGAAGTGGAGTATCCTTCATTCATATCACAGCTGTTTGTTGTTGAGAACGACATTTCGAAACGACAGAATTTGGAGGAGAGATTGAAAGGAAAGGAGTATGCGAAAAAATTTTACAAAGGGGTTGAGTCAAATGTGTCGTTTATTTCCACAAACGAGAGATCAAAGAAGATCTTCCGCCTTCTCTTCCCATATTTTCTTCAAAGTTCGTCGATTGAAATTATAGTGATAATCTTCCCGTTTCTAGATATTGAAATTATTCCACTTGACCACATTCAGAAAGTGGCTCGTCTGTTTATAGACGACTATAAAATTAATCAACCGCTCTTAATGAATGTTGTTTTAACAATATTACAGAAAAGGACCGACTGTGATGACTATTATACCACTCGTATATGTAAGAACACTATTAATATTGTTTGTTGTGTTGATGTAACAACGTTAAATAACTCTATAGGACTTTTTGAATTCAGTGCGTCAAATAGTGAAATCCAAGTTGAGTCAATCACTGATCGACGTGACTATTAGAGGTATAACCGTCCTCAAAAATTCACAACCGGGACTGGAATACCAATTATTGATGTTTCACAATGACTTCCAACACACCATCGAACATATTCAAACGGCATTTAACATTCCAATTAAATCACAGATATTGGACATGAATGAGACGGACTGTGAACTCTTTGAAAACAAAATATATCACTCAAAGACGGGAGAAGCGGCACGAGTCACATTTTGTAGAATAGAGGGAGATAGAATATACACCCTGATCCATTATAAGGAAGCATTTGTATCCCCACATAAAACGGATTTTGACTGCGAGTTTGTATTCAACTGCACCCCAACTTCTATTGCCATTGTCGACATCAACACTATAGAATATGTCGATGAACCTAAAGTAGGGCGATCCTTACAGAATTTACTGATAAAGTTGTACACCCCACCGAAACTTGCACGATCGACGAATAAATGCACTTGTGTCATTCGAGCGACTTCAACACTTCTTGGGAAGTGCAATGCTATCATCGTCAATTTCTACTCGAAAACAAACAATAAAATGTTCAAGACGAAAAGAAAGACCACGAACATCCCCGTGTCATACATACAATACTTCCCTTCATATGCCAATTCGATTAGTCTCACACAAAACTTATATGACTACGACTTCTTGAATTTGGTCACTGAAGTTATGGCAAACAAAATTGACTCGTTTTTCAATGCAAACGAAGTCTGGAAGTCAACACTCTTCACACGAGCTGTCCATTTCTGTCATATCCCATTGTGCTCGTTAGCGGCTCCACTGATGAGAATATTTACTACAGACATCAACTTTAAGTCCATTCAACAAAGTAGTCCACTTAATTTACAAAAGGAAGTCGAAGGGATAATACCTTTCATCATTGATACTGCAAAAAACTCAAAGCTACGGAATTACAGAGAACTCAGTGTAAAAACACCGACGCGAACACTCCATTTGGCGTTCCATGAACTGCCATTTACTCCACGTGAAAGCTGTGAATTAATGTATTATAGAGATGAAGGAATGGGGTTGCCAGATCCGGCTGTTCTTCAAATGATACGAGAGAATGAAAATTACCAACAAGAGATACACTACACACTCCAAGACTTGCTCCAAGGAAGGTTTTGGGTGCCAACGGAACGAAAGAGGAAGATCACTCCGAACACTGAAACGTATAAAATGCATAAGCCACTCTATTTGAATGCAACGACTGTCCAGGCTCTCACAAAATTGGGATTGAAAGAAGAATCGATTGCAAGCATCATCATCGATTTGAATGCCGCAATGGATTCCTATGAAAGTGCGCGTATGGTCGCATACCATTTCCTTCCCGTTGAAGAGAAATTTGCGAGTAAATTTGTCGAAGTGACAAAGAAGTTTTATGAAGACAACAAAGAAGATGACTTGCGAGTTATAGATGCAACTGTCATTAATAAAGTCTCCGCAATGCTCTTTGCACGAATGAAGAGAGGCCTCTTACCTCTCGTCCATGGAGGCACTTTCACATTTGAGAAAGACACGACCAAAATACTCGATAAGGGTGAAATTGGACTTATCACTGACTCTTTTCTTGTGGAACAAGCCGACGAAGTTCTTCTCACGTCGCCGTTCTTAGAAAAGGATGTGATCAGGAAATTTAGAAATGTCCGTGACGTCCGTGTTGTGAGTGCGCGGAATGTGGTATTCTACAGCGTTGAAGACGAAGACTACTTTACTGCAATCAATAAATTTGACCCCATTTGTAATGTGATCTGGGACAAAACTATATTAAACGACGTTGGAGATACTGTTCAATGGAAATTCCCATTAGACCAAGATTTGAATCCATTTGAAGGAACAAATTATGAAAGTTTTATGAGCCAATATATCAGAATTTTATCCGAGAGGTGTGAGTGTCGGAACAAAGCATGTATTATGTCAGACATTTTAGACCAATCCAGAGAGAAAGAAGACACTAAGTGTTACATCCCTCAAACCACGTATGAAGCTAATTTTAGAACATATTTTCCTCCAAAAATTGACGTTCTTTTAACTACTGAAATGAAAGTCTTTTTGTTCTTGTTAGATGGCTTTGGCAATTACAGAACACACTTCAACTTCTCTCAGATATCGTCGTGCTGGACACTTCAGATCGTTGGTAATTTCGACGACCCATTTGTTGGGTTCCAAATGCAAGAGTTCTTGACAACTGTCGACTCATTCAAAGTCCTCGACCCATTCAAAAATCAAAACAACGCACTTTTCTATGGAATGGTGTACCTCCTCACTCAAACAACAGACGTCCGAGTCTTTGCACTCACTTGTGTATTATCGAAATTGTTACAGTCTAAGTAAATTTCCATTTATAGATTGTGTTATTCAAATAGTATTGTTATTAATTCAATTTACTATATTTTTAGCAAAAAGATGCTCTATATATATAAAGAGCGTCACGTTCAAAAATAAACTAAAGTATATAAACAATGATATTAAAACATGGTTATTACTCGTGGATTCCCTTTCGGCGACGACAAGACTGAATTAAACGACGATCTTGGACAAGCAGTGGGTGGTCTTAATTGACCGATTCCGCCTCGGGTTGGCGTCATGACCATTTTCCTCGTGATTTGTTGTGATGGTGTGAGCCCGATAGAAGGCAACTCATCTTCATTTGCGCCCAGTGGCTCTTCTTCCATCTTGAAAAAGCCAAGACTCCTACTTCTGCTTCTCAATGGCATTTCGTTTAATGGCAAAATTGGAGGAAGTTCGTCGTCTGCATTCAACCCAAGATCCTCGGAGACGTCTTCGGAGATTCTCTTTGTCTCGAGACCGACTCTGAACGGATTGAAATGAAAAGGATTTATATGTAAAACGTTGAGTACAATTCCCATATCGAGCGCCTTAATGTAGTTTTGGTAATACTTCTCAACACTGAAATTTTGGTTGCGAAGGAATTGCAGTGACATTGTGCCTTGGAACATCTTTTGTACAACAGCTCCTATGCTATTATCTTCTCTGCTGTTCTTCATCTCATAACTACTGAAGTGTTGATAACTCAAATTTTGATATTCTGTACGGATTTCTGATGGCATGAAAGGATGCACCAACGCTTCTTCTGGGGTCATTCTTTGCTCCGGGTCCATCACAAATATTTTCTTCAAAAAGTCTAACAACACTCTTCTATTTGCGTCGTCGTTTGATTTCTTCACACCCCCCCTGTGCATATTCACTCCCACACAAAGCTCTTCCAAATTTCTGAACCGATGATATCTTTTATTCTCGATGTATTTGACCCCATTCAAATCACAAAACTCTTGTGGTGTGTATAAGACGTAACTCACTTCTCCTGTAAAACTGTTCTGAACTCGCTTGAAAAACTTTTGTGTCTTCGAGCCCATCTCAAGCACCTTGGTACTTGGCATGCCAACCATCTCGATGATTTTAACTAACTGATTGTACTCACTCTCTCCAGGAAATATTGGAATCCCTATCATCATCTCTGCTATGATACACCCAAAGCTCCACATGTCGATCGCACACGTATATGGTAGCCCCAAAATGATTTCCGGCGCTCTGTAGTGTCTCGACTGTATGTAAGTGTACAATGTGTTTCCCTCAAAACATGAACTTCCAAAATCGATCACTTTGATTGTTGTTTTGTTATCGACTAATAATACATTTTCTGGTTTCAAGTCGCAGTGGATAACCCCCTCTCTTCGGAGCTCCAAAAGTGCCCTTGGAATTTGACTTCCAATCGTTTGTGCAAAGGAGTACCCCATCCCCTTGTTCTTGTTAATCCTAAGGACATCGTAGAGGTTTAACCCTAACAACTCAAACACGACACATACGTGCCTGTTGTACAAGAAATGGTCCAAAATACGAACAATTGATTTGTCGTTGTTTTCATTATGTAAGTTGACGGTGTTAAGCATCGCGATTTCAAGCATCCCCTGTCGGAAATAACACGGTTTGTTTTTCAGCACTTTAATCGCGACGATCTCGTGGCTTTTTGTGTTCTCGCACTTGAAGACTTGGCCGAACGTGCCTTTCCCTAACGACGAGATTATTCTGTACGACGAGTCTTTGATATAAGCACACGCATTCCCTTCTTTCGAGTGAGCAGACCCGATAGAAGAGTCTGCGTATGTAATCAAGTCATACCCTTCGTTGTCGAGACCGTTGTTGTGTGTCGGGGTTGATGGATTTGTTAGTGCAAGACGAACATTTGGAAGGACTAAAAGTTGGTTGGCAGACCTCAATACCTCGTTCAGCCTGATAGTGGCCAACTGGCACAAACTGTTTGATGGAGTGTACTGAGGTGGTGCATAGGGGACTGCGATAAACATTTGCTTTGTTTGTTTGACCTTCTTTGTCACACTAAGACAAATCGCTCAAACCCTTCTTTTTTGCTCTTTATTACATCAGTTTACCGCAAATTATCGGGGTTTGTTCTAGGGTTCTCTTCTTTTTAGATTTTTTAACACAACAGAAAAAATAGATTGATTACTCACGTAACAAGACTGAAGAAAGTTGTTCACTTTCTCTTTGGGTTTGCAAATTTATTTACATTAATGCCAGAACTTCCCGATTTTCTAAGTATTCTTCCTTCTACTTTATAAATGAGTTATAGTTCTTGGTATTCTGATCACTAAAGTTTTGATTTTAGGGTTGCTCCGAAATACTTCGAAACTTCTTTTCCATCGATTAACTCTTTTGTAGGGCACTTTTCACTAGGTTTTACCTCTCCACATCCTTCCTCTTTTTTCTCCCATAGTATTACGCTTTTTTACTCGCAACTTCTGTTTGTCTTTCCCACATATTCCGTAATGTCCATCCGTAAAAACTTCATAGTCTCATTAACTCTCTTTTTTTTCTCTATTCCAGTGTTTATTATTTTTATACTATAATTTTACTATTTAATATAGTTTCAGTGTAACTTTTTTTGCTTCTTTTCTTCTTTATAACGTCCGCTATAACAAGTGTACAAATGCTCAAAAAAGTGCTAAAATGAAGAACCAGAAACAAACTATAATAGAATTAATAATTACTAAAAAACAAAACCCCCTTGTATAACACAATCAACAAAAATGTTATTTTACTCCAAGTCGTCGATTACTGAAACTCCACAACACCAGCAACGCCCCATTGCCGATTTAGTAAGTGAAGTGTGGTCTAATAGGTGTACTGACGGATCTGTTCACGTCATACTCGTCATCTTTTTTTTCATATCTTCTATCTCTTCCTCCAAATCTTCCACCACCGTTACGTCGTCCGCCATATCCACTTCCTCTCCCACTTCGTCGTGGCCCAAACCCTCTCCTGTCATTCAACTCAGACGATTTCTCATTCATCCACTCAGGGACACTTTGTTTCGACTCTTCCATTAAACTGACCAACGCTGGAATCAGGTTTTGTGTCTTTTCGTTGATGAAAGTCACTGCAATTCCCTTCTTCCCTGCTCTTCCTGTTCTTCCGACACGATGGACGTAACTCTCGATTTCGTTTGGCATATCGTAGTTAATAACAATTTCAATGTCGGGAATATCAAGTCCTCTCGACGCGACATCAGTCGCGACAAGTAGTTGAATTTTGTTCTCTTTGAACCGCGCAAGCGAGAAGTCTCGATCGCTCTGTGACCGATCACCATGAATACTATCTACCATGTATCCTTTGTCATACAAGTAGTTCTCTAACATATCCGCTCCTCTCTTAGTCTCGACAAATATAACGCCCTTCTTATCCTTCCCAAAGTTCTCAAGTACATCTATCACCGCTTCTTCCTTTTGTCTCTCATCAACCCACAAGATGTCTTGCTCAATGGATTCCACAGTACTCCCAACTCTCCCAACAGTAATGAAGACATAATCATCAAGAAAGTCCGAAGCCAACTTCTGAATGGGGCGTGGGAACGTCGCAGAAAACATTAGGGTTTGGCGAACCCCGACTTTTGGCATTTCGCCGTCGTCGCAAATTTGGCGAATTTGGGGCTCAAACCCCATATCCAACATTCGATCCGCCTCGTCGAAGATCAAAAATCGGACCGACGACAAACAAACGATCTTCCGTTCCATGAAGTGGAGGAGTCTGCCGGGAGTCGCAACCAAGATGTCACAACCTTTTCCCATTTCTTGTATTTGTGGGTATGTCTCTGACCCTCCATGAACACACACCGACTTAATTGGTGTGTTTTGTGTGAACTTTACGGCTTCTTCATGGATCTGTTGACCCAATTCACGTGTTGGTGCGAGGATTAATGCGGAAGGGAATACCGTGACGTGACGAGACATTTGATGGGGCATTGGAGGGTTTTGAAGGATGTCGGAGATGATTGGGAATAAGAAGGCTGCTGTTTTGCCAGACCCTGTTTGAGCACAAGACATCAAATCTCTTCGTGCTAAGATCACTGGGATTGTAGCTTTTTGGACCGGCATTGGATGGTTAAAACCAGCTTTAAAGATATTATCGTCGAGTTCTTCACCCATATCTATATCACTACATTATAAGTATATTATAAGTATATTAATTTATATTAAAAGAGTGGAGAGTCCCACTGGAAATGATAAATAACAAACTAAAACGTCTCAAGTTCCTTTTGAGGGACATTGTTCCCAGTGACTTCGATTTTCAAATTGTCGTAATTCAAAGTGGCATCCGCCATTTTCTCACGTTCTTCCTTGGTATCAGATAACCACTTTGCACGTTTCTCGGCACGTTTTGGGTCATCACGAGAATCTCTGTACTCGGACCATCTGTCGCGCTGTTGCTGTGACGATCGTTTTGCGCTATAAAAGGTTGGAGTCTCACTGCGGTAGAGTTGTGATGGTGTGCGGGAAGGCTGTGGAGTGAAAGAGTTGTGGAGCGAGCGTGATTCGTTCGTGCGTGAAAACGAAGGATTCACTGGTGTCGATTCTTGAGTTTTGTTCCGAAGATGTGGTGGGATGTACGACATTGTTTCTGTTTAATTATTTTAGGGTTTTCACAATTTGGTTGATCTCTTTGAAAATGTCTATTTAATGCCGTTCCAAAGTGTATTTTTCTATTTCGATGAGACGGATATTAATATACAAAACTATTAATTATACAATACAAGAAGATATATATATATAGAATACACTTTTGGTATTCAATTTAATTAGCGATGGAATTTAAATTCTTCAAATCGAAAGAGTTTGGTTTTCACAGTTTATAAATGCTCAAGATAATAGTAAACAAGTGGTGGGGATTTAAAAAGATGTGTTATACTTGGGCAATAATGCCAATTACACTTTTAAGGCATTTTCCCGATATCTTGTATTATCGATATGGGAAATATCAATACCATAAAAAAGTGAGGCAATTAACGAGAAGAATAAACCCTATTTATTCTCTTTGTCATTAACTTTATTATTAACAACAGATGAGCACTATCCACAAGCCAAAGAAGTCAGCCGTGAGCATTGAGAAGAGAGTCGCACAACACGAGAAGAAAGAGAGAGCTAAGGAAGATGCTGACATCAAGAAAGAAGCTGAAGACAAAGCACAAGAGGAAGAAGAAAGCCTTGAGAGTGTCACCGACCCACGTGTGATGGCTCATTACAATGATGCTGCCAAAATCGCGAATGCTGCTTTGAAATTAGCCGAAACCTTATGTGTAGAAGGAGCAGTCATTCATGACATTTGCACGAAAGTGAATGCTTATATCACTGAGGAATGTGGTAAAGTGTTCAAAGGGAAATACAACTATGAGAAGGGTATTGCTTTCCCTTGCTGCATTTCACTCAACAATTGCTGTGGATATTACTCCCCACTTGCTGATGACAAAACTGCAATCAAAAAGGGTGATTTGGTTAAGATCCAATTGGGCGCACACATCTCCGGATTTGTTGCTGAAGTTGCCAACACTATAGTAATTGGAGAAGCTGCCACTGGCGACAAACAGAAATTGATTGAAGCCGGATATTTGGCACTCAAAGAAGCAGTCACCAAGTTGGAAATTGGAGTTAACACTGCAGACATCTCCGCAGCTATTGATGCCGTTTGCAAGAAGTACGACGTCAAACCATTTGAGAACATCATCTCGCGTAATATGGAGAGATATGTGATCGATGGCCAGAAGTTCATCTTGAACGTTCTCCCAAAGAGTCCAAGTGATCATTTGACTATTGAAGCAAATGAAGTCTGGAATTTAGAAATTCAGTTGACCAGTGGAGCTGCTAAACCAATAGAAAGAGACACTAGAACTACTGTATTCAAGAGAAACGTCGAAGAGTCATATTTACTCAAGATGAAAGCGTCTCAAACCACATTCAGAGAGATCAACGACAAGTACCCAACATTCCCATTTGCTATTTCTATGCTTGAGAACGAAGCTAAAGCCAAATTAGGGTTAGTTGAAATGACTAAACACTCCTTGGTCGATGCATACAATGTTGTCTATGAAAAGACCGGAAATGTCTCGCAGTTCAAGGCCACTGTTATCATCACCGAGAAAGGGAAAGTCCTTTTGACTCCATTAGATGAGCCCGCCACACTCAAAAAATAAGTGAATTTATTAATAAGATATTTACTATATTTCATGGTATAGAAGAAATCAATAGAACTGAAAACTCAAAAGTGAGTCATGAATCCTCCTGATATGCGGAGTGAAGGTTTTCCAGAACCGATGATGGAACTTCTCAGGAAGTATGTGTTGGGTGGGATAGTCCACCCACTTCCATCGGGAATGGAGAGTATTGAAATTGGGCGAGTCACTATGACGATGTTTTACTTTGGCGCTTACAAATTGTTGTTTCCTGAAAAGCCATTGAAAGATGTAGTTAACGTTGATGCTGTATCCAAATACCTTCTAGAAACGTTGCGAGTGAAATCAAATGACCCGAGTGTATTCAATGGGTTCACGGGATGCGAAGTCTTCGGGTCTTTTAAACAGGGACATATCAGTTACACATACGCTGCACTTGCTTCACTCTCTCAACTTGGCTATGACCTCCGCCGTATTGATAAAACGTCGATCACAAGTACAATTCCCAACTTATTTAAACCTGGTAATAAAGGGGTGTTTGCAACTAGTTTACCCGATGAGTGTGAACATGATGTGCGGTTTGTGTACTCGTTGTGTGCTGTGTGCTATTTACTCAATGATTGGTCTTTTGTCGATAAAACCAAATTATTCGATTTCATCATGTCGTGCAGAAGTTACGATTTCGCCTTCGGACAAGTCCCACTCCGCGAGAGTCATGGCGGGTCCACTTTTTGTGCAATTCAAAGCATTTCGTTGATGGGCATGTTAGATAAATTGACGTATGTCGATGAGTTAGTTCAATGGTTGGTCCAAAAGAGTTACTTAGGATTCTCCGGAAGAATTAATAAACCAGCAGACACGTGTTATACCTATTGGATAGGCGCGACATTGAAAACACTTGGATGTGAGGCATTGATCGACAAGAAATTCGTACTGTTTGTTATTCTATATCTGGTATACCAACTATTGTATATAATATAATTATCTTAGATATAATATATCAGTTATCTTATATACGATATATATATATAGAAGATAACAAGGCTTGACGACTATTAATGGGTAGAGCATTTGTTGAAAGTTGTGTTTCAAAGAAATACGGCGGAGTAAGCAAAAATGGGGATTCTATCCCAGACCCTATGCACACATTTTGTTCATTAACGGGACTTTCGTTAATTGGGGCGTTACCAGTTTCATACGTGATCGATTCGAGAATTGGAATTGAACGACCGTCATATCTCTCTAACTGAATAAGGTGTGAATATTTATTTATTTTTCTATAGACGCGACTTGTAAGAGGATTTTGTATATCGTCTTGAATGCTTGGTTGATCTGCTCGACCTCTTTGCCCCCAGTAAAGACAATTTTACCCGAAGCGAAGATCAGAAGAACCATTTTAGGTTCCGCGAGTCTGTACACGACACCAGGGAAAATTTCCGGCTCGTATTTGGTGTTTTTGGGTGACAGAGTGATTAAGTCCCTGAGCGAGATCGCAAATTTCATATCGCATGAAGCCACAACGTTTTGGACTTTGAAGTGATTGAATTTTACTTCGTAGCCCAAGCGCTGGAGTATTCTGGCATATTTCCGGCCAGCCAGCCTTGAATCATCAATCGTTTTGCCACCCGTAATCACAAGCTTTCCTGAGTGAAAGACAAGTGCGGTCGTTTTAGGGTTTGTGATTCGAATTATTAACGCCCCAAAACGCTTGGGATTGTATTCAGCGTTCCGCACACGTCTCACGACATCTTGAAGATTGACATTGCAGTCTAATTCGACGGTTGCTACGATGTTTCTTTTTGTCATTTTTCTTGTTATAGTTGTTATTGATTGTTTTATTATACAATATAGTTTAATACACATTATGTTATTGGTTTTGTTATTGGCAATAATTATTTACAAACTGTATGATTGGGAGTTCGATTTTGTTAATGTCTACGGGAAACTCGCGAAAACTTTCCTCTTCCTCTGTTCCAACTTTTTCAATCTTCTCATCTCCCTCTGCGTTTTTAGTTGTCACGTCTTTTTTTTGTTTTGTTTTTGTTGGTTTGACGGCTTTTGGCTTCACCACTTTTTCGGTTTTCGACATACTTATTCAGTTTATAAAATAATAAGAAGGGTTTCTGTATTGAAGAACAATTGTAAATATTTTTTAAATTCAAAAAAACTCAAAAATCGGGTTTTTTCAAAATTTTTCAACAAAACATTTACAATTTTAAAATTAGAATTATAGGAGTGTTGTATAATTATTTTAAAGAAAAAATAGTTTATTTATTATTATTAAATAGTTTATTATAACCATTTGAAAAGTTGATTGTATTATGTATGTTTAACTTGTATTTGTTTAAAATAGATCATTAAATGTTTAAATTTTAAAAACTTTAATTATTTTTTAAATGAACTATATATTTTAGTATATTTAATATATAAAGAAGATTAAAATGTGACAGTTGAGGAAGAACGAACGTATATTTATGGACAAAAAAATGGGGAAAATGTGAAATGTTCAATAGTGGATTGAACGAACGCAGTTCGTTCAATTTGGAGAACAGCGAAGAGCTAAGGAAAATGGTCTTGAAGGAGGTGCGCCTGCGCACAAAGGTATTACAGTCAAGTGAGAAAATGAAAACCACAAAATGTGGAGGGTATTGTAGCGTTTTGATTGGAGATGAGGTACCAGGTAAGCTGACCGTGTCAACGTTACCACCAATGACAGACCAGTTTATGTCAATTGAATATATGTTGAACCTCGTCGAGATCTTTTTGGACGACTCAGAAGTGGTAAACAGTGTTATTTATTGTGTCGCGATCATGGTTTTAGACACAAACAACCGCGTGGTATTCCAGCAGAAAAACGGACTTATGACCGTCCAAAAAGCAGTTGAAAAATACAAGCAAAACATTGTTGTTCTCCGGTGTTGTTGCTCGGTGTTTGCAAACGTTGGGCCATACATCATCGACTTGCCATCGATTACCCTTGTTGAGGAGATGTCAAAACTCCACCCGTATGATCAATTTATTAAAACCGCTCTCTGCGCAGCGTTTGCGAACTACGCCCGAGTCAACCCAACCTCGGTCATTGAAAATGGAATTATCGAGAAGATGAAGCCACTTTTATGTGACTCGAATATAGATTTACAGTACTCAGTTCTCGCAGCGTATTCCAACATTGCCAGAAACTCTACAATTGGACAAAAGAGGTGCATTGACAATGGAATTCATGAGGTGGTGATGAACAAACTACTCCGGACAGAGTGTAATCCACAATATTGGAGGGTTGCATGTAACACTTTGGGTTGTTTCGCAGTTAATGGACTCGGTTTTGAGAGTGTAAAAGTCGTCAAGTACGCGATTGAAAGCGGGTTCGTTGACAAAATCATTGATGTTCTTCACATCGTAAGCTTCAAAGATTCCGACGAAAAGGGGTACGAGCGTATGTATGGATGCCTTGCAAAATTTGCCATAGTCAGAGCGATTAAACGCATCCCACGGCTCTCTTGGCTCAGTTTTCAGTGTTGTAAAAATCCTCGGTTAATTCCAGCAGCATTTGCCAAATTTTATCTCAATGATGCGTTCAAGTGTCATGTATGCAAAAAGCCCTGCGACCCGCTCATCATCAGAAGTATCAAATTTCAAGACAAATTGGTTCTGATGTCTTATTGTTCGACCACGTGCTGGGGTAGAAGGCATGAGTGCTGAGTTTTGTTTTTATAATTATGAAGTTGTTTTGATGAAATTCCTTCAAATTACGTCTGAGATTCCCCTTTAACCAAACCAAATGTAACAATCAAATTACGTGCAAATACATCTACTCACTCTGCGTCTTCGTCGTCACAAAATTCGTCTTTTTGTGGTTTGTTCTTTTTGTGCTGCACGTACCGTTTATCCACTTTTTCTATTAACAAATTCAAAAGCTTGGCTTGTTCCTCTTCGTCTATTACAGTAACTTTAAGGTTATCAATGATTTGAAACCCAAACCCAAGGTTCTGCATGTACTCCTGCCTTTTTCTGACGAAGTACTCTTCGTGTGTGTCTTTTGAGGTCAGTGAATAAAAGAACGCCTCTCCCTTATTTTGTTTGACTCTTGAAATCCGTCCGAGCCGTTGGAGTTGTTGTCTTCTTGATCCATGGCTTGTACACATTTGTATAATAACTGTGGCATCTGGGATATCGAGCGAGGTGTCTCCAACAGAAGACATTGCAATACAAGGAGTCAGTCCGTTTTTAAAATTCTTCAACAAGTCAAATCGTGACTTGTTTGGGGTTTCTCCAGAGAACACAGGGCACCCCACTCTCGATGCAATTTCTCTTAATACAACAATGTTATCACAAAATATGATTATTTGCTCCTTTCTGTTTTTGTGGTATTTCACCAAGAACTGTACGGTAGCGATTTTTGTTGGGTTTGCAGCAGATGCGAGTGCTCTGTGTCTATATTCATCTTCGTTGACGTATCTTTCATAAAACACTTGTGTCATATTACACACCACTTCGAAGCAGTGCACTTGTGCAAGAAACCCATCTTTAATGAGCTTTGTCCAGCTTTGTTGATAGAGTAGTGGTCCGGTCAAGAAGTCCAACTCCCCAATTTTCGAGTCTTCTCTTACAAACGTCGCAGTCAACCCAATTCTGCACCGACTGTTTATCTTCGAATAGACCTCTTTGAACTCATTTGCAACAGATGCGTGTACTTCGTCCAATATCATCATGCCGTACAAGTACCTTGTGACTTGTTCTATTTCTTTGGACTGCATCATTTGGTATGTAGTGAGAACCACATAACACCCATCTAATGGCTCTTTAACACTTGAAGTGAAACACTTGATTTTGTTGAATGGAACTGTTGACCATTTCCGGATTTCATCCCTCCATTGTTCGACAGACGCAATTGACGTGCAAATTATAATCGACATCTGCTGCATGCCACATATCAACGCGATTGATAACAATGTCTTCCCAGCCCCACATGGAAGTACAATAATACCACATTTCACTCGATTGTTTTCAAAAACGCTACTGATTGCACTGACTTGGTAATCCCGCAAAACTCTCTCATCTCGAAGAGTGAACGGCAGCTTCTGTTCCCCGTACGGGACTTCTTCAACCACCAAAATTTTGTGTGTCCGACAGAGGTTTTTGAATTCGACAATGTTTTGGTTTAATATCATTTTAGTTGTATTGTCTGCAAACGCACCTTCTTTTGCTAAAATTTGAATAAGTTCGGTATCACCAAAGCACTCACGGACACCATCATAATCACATATAACTCGGACAACTCGTTTTTTATTGGCAGTTGCAAACAACTCTGCAACTTCGTGTGGTATCGAGTTCTTAGAATATTTTGAAAATTCGGCAAAAACAGACATCACATCTACTCCACTTGTTAATGCTGTAAAAATTGTATAATCACTGATTTGGTACTCCTCGAAAAAGTCCATTTGTGCGGTCACTTTAGATATCTTCATCAAAATCGCAATGGCTGTTTTGCTTTGTGGTTTGGTTGTTTCAACTAAAACACGCCCATTTGGACAAACCCACATCGGGTTTGTGTTATTTAAAATTTCCAATTCAAAACGGTCAATAACAGATTCTTGTGGATAGTGCCAGTTTTGTTGTGGTTCTTCTTCCATAAGTATTTCAGATTCAAAACTAAAAATATTTGAATTTTTATTACCATTGTGGTAATTGTATTTTAACTATATGTTTATTATAATAATTGATATGAATATAGTTAAATTGTCATACATAGACAATTCTTTAATTTTAACTATTTTTATTTAAGATGTTCATTTAAAACTCCCAGTGACTGTATTTCTACAATTGGAAATATAACTAATAAATGTACCAATAAATATAATACAGTTTATTATAAAAACTATCATTTGTTGTCCATTGAAATATCAACCAGATTTTCATTCAAAAAACATCTTAACCCTAAAAATTCAAAGGCCAAATTAAACAAAGTTTTGATCGTAGTGATAGTTATCTAGAACTAGGGTTGATTAAAACCATTCATGTCAGGTAAACCACGACATTTCAGCCGTACAAGAGCGTCTGATGAAAAGCAACGCGACAATAGAGGGCGTTCGAATTCACGAGGCAAATTATCGAATCACAAGGAAAGAGACGAGGATTACGAATTTAAGAAGAGTCAGAGGATAGATAAGGATATCAAAGGACACAAGTTTGGTACGAAATTTGAAACGAAAGAAGACGACAAATATGCAACAACGTGTCACCCGACTATTACCACATTTAGACCGAACGATGTTATTTTGTGTGTAGTTCTTGCTGTTGAGAAATCAACAATCAAATTTGCAACACCATTTGGGACTAAAATCAAAACTCCAAAACTCGCAAACATCATTGTGAAAGTTGGACAAACAATTCCACTGACTTTTGTTTCACAAATAGGAGATAATTCGATTTATACATATGATGTGAGAGAAGCAAACCAAAACAGTGTTGCAAAGGCAGGAAGCATTTGGTACGGTGTTGTGAAGAGTAAAGAAGAACATGGGTACATCATTACTTTAAATAAAGAGCAAGAAGTCTTTGTCGAGGATATTGAAGACGAGAGTTCTTCAATGTCTGAAGAATCCGAACACAGTGAAGAGTCAGACGAATCGAAATCGTCCAAAGAAGAGGAGACTAACCAAATGAGTGAAGATGAAAAATCGACCGAAGAAGACTCGAGTGAAGACACAAGTAGCTCCGACGACTCCACACAAATAGTCTCGCGTGATTTGTTTATAGGAGCTGTTGTACAAATCTATGTGACTGAAGCAATTTCACGAAAAAAATTGAAAGGCAGAGTTGCGACAGTGGATGATGTAGTTTCTTCACAAAATTTGATTAGTGTAGGGTGCCGTGTACCAGTCGGTGAAAGGGTGAGTACTGGATTGAATGGCTACATATACAAAGTGTTTAACATGAAAACCACTGTGAGTTTGTTGCATTACTCGGAAGGAGCCGAGACTGCTATTGTGGTGTATAACCAAAGCGAATTGAATATGTACTCCATCAGTATGTTACCACAAGTGAATACTGGAGTGTTTTCAATGAAGGGTAAGCTCGAGACGACCACGCAGACTGAATTTATGGTGAACCAAGTTGGTAAGCACTTAACTGTTGGAACGTCACCTGATGGAGAAACATTGGTCATGTACAAGAATAAATCTTCATATGTTTCAGTGCCTGATATGTCACAAGAAGTGCATATTGGATATACTCTTGAAGGTGTTGTTGTGTCATATGATGCGTTCAATGGGGTTTATGTTGTATCGAATGAACCCGAAGTGATTGAAAATATTGATAAGGTCAAGGGTATTGGTATTGGTGCGTTTGTGGAAGGGAAGGTCAAGACAATTACAAAGAGTTACCTTGTCATCAGTGTCTCAAAATATGTGACCGGTATTTGTTTCAGGAAACATGTTGCTGAAATTCCACCAGATGATTTGTCTGATGTGTTTGTTAAAGGACAGAGTGTAAAAGCGCGTGTATTATCTATTAAGAACAACGCATTTGAATTTACCATGAAAAAGTCGTATATGGTCCCCGAATTGAGTATCATAGCATCGACTGAAGATGCACTTGATAATCAAATTACTTATGCTATGGTCGATCATGTCGATCCGAAGACTGGCGTTAATATTTCGTTCTTTGGAGATGTCAAAGGGTATGTACCAATTGTCGAGTTGTTTGATCATAGAGTGGAGGCAATTTCTCTCTTCTCAATTTTAAGGGTTAGAGTGTCATCTGTTGAAAAAGGAAAAATTACAGCAAGTTTGAATCTTTACCCTAAAGAAGGGAAGGTCGACAAAATCGTTGATTTAATATCAAAGTTCCAAGTTGGTGAGATATACAGTGGAACTGTTATTGGTAAACGTATGAATAAGATGTTAGTCCGTCTTCGCAAAGATGACGCGAGTTACGTCTCTATTCTACCGAATCATTATGTTGAAGATGGGGACGATGGTAGTGGCATCCAAGAGAAAATCAAAAATGGGTCTGTTTTCGAACAGTGTTTGGTGTTATCCAACATTGCTGGAAAGATAACGATAACAACCAAAAAGTCTCTTATTGCTCTTAAGAGCAAAATTGCCAAATGCGATTCATACCAAACACTGGAAGAAGGGGTATATGTTGGATGTGTAAATTTTGTCGGTCAGTTCAAAGCAGTCGTCGTGTTCTACAACCATGTCCAAATCTCTGTTCATGCTATAGATATCACAAATGATCAGGACAAACCAATGAATACACTTTTGAAACTTGGACAGACTGTTGTAGGTAAGGTGCGGCGTGCGAAAGAAGTCAAACACTTTAATATGAGAGAAAATGCGGGGTATTGTATGCCTGAGGAAGCTTTCTTGTTGCCTGCCTTCCCACAAAAGCCGTTTGTATTTGGCTCTGAAATAGTGATTACTGTCGATGAAACACAAGACTATGGAATTATTGGTTCTGCATATCTTGATAATACTAAGTACACTACATTTACTCCAAAAGCGGGAATTAAGGGAGAAATCGCCACTTTTGCGATTGGAAACACGTTTAAAGCTGTCGTCATTGGATTTGATCAGAAGACGAATATAGTCGATGCTGTTCATGCCAAATTGATTCACCCAAATGTTGTGTTGCCGAAGAGTATTCGATCTGGTATTGTAGTGTTGAACAAACAAGATTTCTGTGTTGTGATTAGTAAGTCGACCCTCTTTGTTGTGAACAAACAAAGATTGAACGGTGGGTACTTCACTGTTGGTAAAACGACTGAGTTCTATGCCGGTGATTTGATTGAAGACAGTAACAAAGTATACACTGGTACTGTTGCCATAGTCAAAGACAAGAAAGAACATTTCAAGTCTGTTGCGTTTGACAAAGTTAAAGAGGTGCGTATTGGAGAAAACACTACCGGTGTTGTGAGTGAAGTATATCCGCATCAGTACATTATTACACTTGATAACGGAGTGGAAGGAAGGTTACACAAAATCAATATGCCAAACACTTCCCTCTCACAAGGTGACAAAGTTGAAGTCAAGGTCTGTGGATTTGAAAAGAAGGATGGTGTTTTTGTGAACAACCCCGATGTCTACATGAAGAAATATGTTGAGTTGAGTCAGATAGAAACACCACATTTCGACACCAAATTGCCACTTGATAAGAAGGTGAGTGGATGGGTTGTAATGGATACTGGGAAGTGCTTATTGATATCGTTCAACTCTTTTATGAATGGGAAGCTAAGTTATGTCGAATTAGGAGACACACTCAAAGAAGTTGAAATTGCAAAGAAACAGTACACTATTGGTGACACAATTGAAGTGATTCCGAAAATTGTCGATAACCGGATGATACTTACATTGGATTCTTTCAATTTCACAAATAAGGGGCAAGTTGTTTTGGGAAGGGTTTTGAAAACAGAACCGGCTTTGCTCCGTATGGAGATTGAAATTCGCGGAGGAAATACTGGCTTTGTAGATTACACTGAGATGTCCAACGTCTACCCCGCACTGCCTTTTGAGTACATCTCCGTCGACGATTATTTCAATGTCAAATTACTCAAAACGGGAGAACTTGGAACAAAGTATTTCACCATGAGACCAGAGTACTTGAAGGAAGAAGCCCAGAAAGTCTTCCCGGTTAGTATAGGTTCTGTCTGTCCAATAGTTGAGCGAAGTAAGATAGTGATTGGCCAACGGATGTTAGGGTATGTCATCTCCAGTGACAATGAAAGTGGTGTAGTTCTTCATGTAGGGAGTGATATTGAAGTTATTGTACCACCCGAGGAATGCTTAGAAAAGGAAGAAGCCAAAGAGATTGAAATTACAAAACATTTTGTAGTTGGAAGATTAGTTAGGGTTATGATTGAAGATATTGATGGTGAAGATATCTTTGGTACTTTGAACCACGCGAAGTTGTACCCTGGTGCTATAGTCCGCGCGTCCGATGCTGTTTGTGGAAAGTTTGCACGAGCGGTGATCACTGCTATATATAAGAGTGGACTTTTCTTTAGGTTCCACAACTCGAATCTTCGAGCCTTCTGTCATTGTTCTCAAATCGAAACAGGGACGTTCTTTACATTCTCGGTGCTGAACAGTAGGTTCAAAGTTGGAGATAGTCATATAGTTAAAATTATTCAGAACAACACGCGCAATGGAAAGCCGATGATTCGTGTTTCCATCAAGGCTGAGGATATTGCTGATGTTGATATACCCGATGAGAGCGAGGTGGATTACATTGATATGTGGCACAAAGAGGATTGCAAACGGTTTATTGTTCAAAAGATCCAAACGATTAAGAAAGAGCTTAAGGATAAGATTGGCGTGAACGACGAATTTAAAGAGCCGAAAGAGGTAATTCCCGTTGAAGTAGATTGGGACGAAGAAGGTGATGTTCCATTGCTAAACATTGTACCAAATCAAAAACGTCATCGCATGATTCGGGAGAGTTCTGAATCGAGTGAACAAGATGTCGAGTCTGAAGATGAAATGGAGGTTGAACGAGAGAAAGAACAACCAAAGGAAGAACCAAGAGAAGAACAAAAGGAAGATGAAGAAAATGAAGACAAAGCTGTTACTCAAGAAATGGTTGAAGACCTTTACGAAATTGCTCAAAAAGATCAAAATAACTCAGAAAAATGGATTGAGTTGATTCGAGCAGTACGCAAAATCAGTGTTGTAAAAGCTCTATTTTACTGTCAAACTGCACTTAGAAATATTGCTCTGGACAAGACACAAGATAGAGAGAACATATGGAAGGCTTATCTCCAAATTGAAGCGAAGTATAGAACAAATTCCGAGTTCCAGACGGCATTACAAGATGCGTTGAGAGTGTGTGACGTCAAGAAGATCTTGTTTTATATGCGTTCTGTGTTTAAGAGTCTCCAAAACATTAGTATGGAAGAGAACATGTACACTATATTGTTACAGAAGGTTAAAGGAAGCGGTAGAGTATATCGTAAAATGTGCAGCTTCTATATGCGCACGTCACGAGAAGAAAATGCCATGGTCTTATTAAGTAAGGCAAGGAAAATGTTAACCAAACCAAAGTATATGAAACTTCGAATCAAAATGGCACAATTGCAGTACAAATACGGAAGTGTTGATAAGGGACGTTCGATGTTTGAATCCATTTTAGAAGAGTTTCCAAAGCGCTATGATTTGTGGAACGTCTATCTCGATATGGAGTCGCGTGTTGGCGAAACCCCAATCATCAGAAGACTTTTTGAAAGAATCGTTGCGATGAAACTTTCCACGAAGTCGATGAAGACATTCCTGACAAAATACTTGAAGTTCGAAACGAACAATGGTGATAATGCACGAATGGAACATGTTAGACAAATTGCTCAGAAGTATGTGGAGTCGAAATGAATTGATTGATTTCTTTAATTTTATATAGTTTTATTAATATTTGAACCCATTTAATGGTTAGTCGGTCGGGTACAGACAGACGGAAAAAAAGAACAACAAATTAGTTCAACCACTCGATAGCAACAAGTCTGGCCACTTCGAAAGTCTCAGGTTCGACAGAGCCAACAAAGAATTTTGAACCTCTCCGCTTTTCAATTTGATAGAATGAAGCGAAGTAAGGTGAGAACGATGATCCTTTCTTCTTTAAAGTAAAGCCCCTACTTATGGTATAAATGCTCTCAACACTCATAGAGAGTGAGTCCAAGTACATTGTTTCTAAAGAAGACTTTTTAAAGAATTTTTCTTGTGGGATGTTGTCTGCATTGATTAATGTGAAGATGAAAAAATTGTTGTCGTGGAAAGTCTTTGAACCCTGAGTTGGCGGATTTGGAATTGACGAATGAAACGCGCCGAATACGTAACCCTTGTCAGTTACCACTAATGTCATGATATTACTTAACCCACAGACTGCATTATAAAACGACTCTTTGCTGAAGTCCATCATCGAAGAGTCATAAACTAACCTTCGCCGCTTTTTAGTTGTCCACGACTCCAACGAAGTGACCATACTCTCAGTTACCCCATTGATATTGAAAAAGGAAAAGGGAGCGACGGGTTGAATTTCAGTGGGGACATTGGATAACTTTGGAAAAGATTCGGAGTGCGGAGAATCATTGCTGGATGGTGGCGGACTTCGTGGGGAGAGGGGGTCTGTGGTGTCGACAAGTTCTTTGTACCCGTCCTTTGTGCGTTCTTTGCTTGATGACTTTTTCGAGAGTTGTGGGCTCATCGATTGCTTGGGGGTCTTTGGGGATTTTGTGTTTGTTTTCATGACGACTTGATGGGTCGAGTCAACGTTTGTTGTAGAGTTTTTCTCCGAGGTTATAGTGATGATCCCGTAATTCACTATTTCAATTTTCATTTCTAACAAATGGAGTTTTATAATTCTTTTAGTTTGGTTTGTTTGGTTGTTTGATATTTAGTTCACAATAGTTAAACTATGAAATTTAGAAAGTTTATTAGTTTATTTAATCATAAGAAAACAGTAAAACGACAAAATACAGTCTTTGATTGATAGTATCAAGTTTCCCTAAAGTGTGGTCTACTTTTGAAGCAACTTAGTCGTTAAAATATTTGAGTTGTTAAAAAAATTGGGTATTTTATTAGATGGTTGTTTAACCATTGAAAAAGTGCTTCGTGTTTAAACATACAAAACCACTATAATTTACTCAACTGTAAACGTTTTTTTTGAATAAAGCCAAAATCGTCGATTTTTACTTATTTTATTAAGTTCAAACTTTAATAAATGAACAAACTTAATAAACTAAACTAATTTATTTTTACATTAATAATTGAAGAAATTATTTCTTATAATTATTAAAAAATACTCAACTTCAAATTTCCCTATTTGTTACAAATATTGATGACTGGTTTTTGCAAATAAATTTGGATTAGAAACGTTGTTGTAAACAACAGAAACACGACGAGTCTAAAAATGAAGGTATGTCTATGAAAAATTAATGACTTATAAAACAAAACACATTTATTTGTGTATTTAATAATTTAGATATTTTCATCAAACCACTGATTGTTTACACTTGTCCCTTTTCTATTTTGTTGTTAAAAAAAACATTTTTTGCGATGATTACTGTTTTAAAGAATTTCAAAAAGGTATTAAGGATCAAAAAATGCTATTCTTTAGACAATATTAACACAAATTTTTTATTAATTGGTGCATTTTCGATAATAATCAATACACTCTATTAACCATACAATATTATAAAATATTTATATAATAAACTAAACACATAATAGAGAACTCGAACTTCAAAAAGATCGATAAACTAGAAAAGTTAATAATGTTTTCGGTTCCACGGTTGTTTCTTCTTATAGCTGGAATTGTTCTGATCGTTTGTTTGATAGGCTTGATTTGTAATAGAAGTAATAAGTAGTTGTGTGGTTCGGCTGTCTTCCCATTGCTATACTTAGGTCCAACAAAGAATGTCCCCACTCTTTCAGAAACAAAATCCAGCAACGTCCTTTCGATGTTTTCACGAAAGACATATTACATCGAAATGATGACATGCAGCGCATTCGCGATATTCATTGGCGCTTTGGCTCTTGTTGCAGCGTTTCTGGATACACAACACAAAATCATGTGCATCTTAGTATACGTCTTGTTATTCCCGTTAATCCTTGTTTCAGTTGGTATGATGATTTTATACGGATTTTCTTATTTCTGGCTCTTGACGTCCTCAGATAATCAAATGGCTTCACAACTCTCCAATTTCGAAGCCGCATTCAAGTGTTGCGGGTGGAAGACAACACGTCCATTCCCACCATGCAATTCTATTGATGGGTATGAGACTGGAAATACTTGCTATAAGAACACTCAGGTCGTAAGAAGTGCGTCGCTTCAAGGTTTCATCACAGGAGGAGTGTACTTGGTGCTTAGTATAATCATCGT